TGGGCCAGGTGCAAAGTCAGAATCAGACACAGGGTCGTTATAGACAAATTCCAGCAACACGCAGTGCTCCGGAGTCGACTCGACCGATCCACCCTCAGGGAGGAGCTTTCGGTCTGGAATCACGACGCCGCTTAGATCCAACCACCAGTACCACGTCGGCAGCTTTTACTGGAGTTGAGTCTAACAATGCCGCCCGTGTCCGATTTGTGGACAGTGAGGATGAAGAGGTCGCCGAATGGAACACCATAGACCGGGTCAACGCAGTACTTCTCAGTTCACTAGCGCCAATAGATGTCCACATCCCACAGTCAACGAACGCGCTAATGGAGTTGCAGCGGGTTTACGCCACAGGAAATGAAGACACCCATGGTAAACGGGCAAGGGTTGACACGACCAGTGATAGCCAGCCAGAAACATTGAACACCGGCAAGAATCGGAAACCGAGGGAGAAAAGGCACTTGAAAGGACTGGATGGAGATCCACTTAACCTGAAGAGCTTGATGAATGGCACCCGGGTTGAGATCAGCCTTGCGGAGCTCCTCGACGTAGCACCAGCGGCACGCGTGGAATTCGCGAAACTCATGAGGCTAAACCCTACCAGCAAGAACCAAAAGCCCCGAAGAGAGTACGGGTCCATCATCTTGAACACCCACGCCAGGAAAACGGAGTACATGACGATTGTTTCCAACCTCGAGACCCAACATCTACAGAACTCTTTTATACCACCGCAGACGTACAAGCCATGACGACTGATAATGAGTTACGGGCAGTAAGATGCAAGGCGGTACTGGTTGACGGGGGATCTGAGGGAAACCTAGTCGCCAGGTACGTTATTGATGCTCTTAAGGCGAGGATTGTGCCTGTGGATATAAGATGTAAGGTAGCAACGGGTCATGACTTCCGATTGAATGCTATCGTCTGGCTTCAACTATCAGTTGAAGGTGTCAGCCGTATCATCGCAGCAACGGTTGTTGATGGTGATCCGGGATATTCAGTCTTGCTTGGTCGCCACTGGATGTCCTCGGTGGGGATGTTAGGAAATTATAAACACGGAACCTACACCATTGAGGGAGCAGATGGGACGAAGGAAGTTACTCGAACACAGCGAACCGCCGTCATTGAAGAGACGAAAGGAACTACCGTCCAGAGCCAAGTGGTGGGACAGGCAAAGCTCAAGACCAGACGACCTATTCCCTTTCCACGCCTACCTACCCCTCCTCCACGTCAATCCGACCATGATGACCCGAGTACAGATACAGAGGGTGAGAATGAACTATTCCGGGTCATTCGAGAAGCGATGGAGGAGGACCGTTATGAAGCGGATTCCTCAGATTATGAACAGGGAAACTAACTGCGGCACCTGCGCCGCCCTCCGCAGTGGCCGCAGGTCGACGGCAGACCGTGCAAAGAGGGCACCTTAACAGGATGATGGAGAATCACTGTCAAGGAACAACAGGAGATCAGCATATTTTAGGACCAACCATCGATTACCAGCAACCAGAGGAAACCCATGAAAACAAACTATGGAACACTATCAGAGCATCAGATAAGGCAGTAATTCCATCTACTCTTCATCAGTATCCCCTACATTACCAAACCCCTATATCCACGAGTACCGCACTCCGGAATATCGAAGATGAGATGGAAAATTTGGGATACCTTGGGTTCCCAACAACCTCGCGACCACAAGAGTTCAGACGGACCATGACTGAAGATCACAATGCCGCCCAGATCTGGATGAGAGAGAACACCCATCTGCTAGGACCGCTGGTTACGGAAAGCAAGTGGCCAGTAGTGGCAGATTTACTTTACACATGGAGAGATCTCTTTGTTGAGAAAATTACCGACATGCCAGCAACGAGGCTCGTTGAGCACCGAATTCCCACTTACCCATGGGCTACCCCACGAGCTGCAAAACTTCCACTCTACACTGAAGAGGAAAAGCAATGGCAGGTGGAGAATCTACCGAACATGGTTGATGCAGGCATCATCATTGAGTGTACATCCCCATGGAGTGCTCGTACCAAATTTCCCAGGAAATCTTCAGGCAAACTGCGTATGGTGCATAACTTCATGCCCATAAACGCGGCCACTATTAAGATGAATTATCCGCTACGGAGGCTCGAGCCAGTCATCGCAAATCTGTCAAGAAAACAATGGAAAGTCTTCTTCAAAGTCGACGCTGCTAATGGGTATTGGGCAGTGCCGTTGGCCGCTGAGCATTCATTCAAAACGGGTTTCAGTTCAATCCTAGGCCAGTTCTGTTATCTGCGCATGGGACAAGGGCTTACTGGAGCCCCGGGAACTTATTCCAAATTAAAGGATCTGGCAATGGGAGCAATCCCAGCGCCCTCTCCCGAGGCAGCACTTGCATCGTTACCGGATGTGGGCTTCGAGTACTTTATGGATGACGACGCCGGTGCGGCACAGAATATCGACGACATGGTCTCTTTCCTTCATCAACACTACCTTCCCCGACTTGCGTGGGCGGGCTTGACCCTCAATCCAGCCAAAAGCGCTTTCTTCACTGATGAAATCGAGATTCTAGGCCACCAATGTACCCAGGATGGACTCAGACCTTCCGTAGGCAAACTCGAAGCTTTACGGAACTGGCCAGAGCCCACAAATGAAGAGGAGTTGATGAGATTCATCTATTCGCTTCCATTTATGAAAGTATACATTCCGGGGAGAGCCGACTACACTGCCATCCTGAAGAAAGCCCTTAAATACACCGGGAAAGGCAAGACTAAGCGATTTGAGGCCTTTGAATGGACCAGCGAGCAACGGAAAGTGTTTCAGAAGCTGAAGGGATATCTCCTCGACGTGAAGCTCTCGGGAGGGGATCCCAAGCTACAATATCATTTAAGCACGGACGCCTCCAACAGGGGGTTGGGAGGAGTACTTTTCCAAATGGTAGGACATCCAGTGGGGACAAAAGCATCGCGGAAGACGCATCAAGATGAGACACCCGTCATGTACCTGTCATTTGCGCTTACGGACCCGGAGACCCGTTATACGACTACTGAAAAGGAGGTGCTGGCGGTCTTGCGGTGCCTAGAAGAAACAAGGTGGCTAGTATTGGGATCACAACACCCAGTTATCGTTTATACCGATCATATGGCAGTGAAATCCGTTTTAGGCGGACAGTCCGACGCGACAGGCCGACTGGCCAGGTGGCATTACAGATTACAGGAATACGATGTTGAATATATCCATGTTCCAGGTAAGCTCCAGGTCGTTGCGGACGGCCTTTCCCGGATTCCTCATTGGAAGGCTATGGCAACCGAGGAGGAAGAGTTCACCCTGCCTGCCTTCGTGAACCAGCAGAGACTCCATCCGCAGCAGTCTGAATCCCCATCATTGGACAACCCTGAAGGTACAGCATACCAGCCATATCTGCAGGATAGTTGGTATCGGGAGATAGTCGAGAAGCTCCTTGCTGGCCAAAGCAACAAAAGATTCAGTCTGGTTAACGTCGAAGGAAAGGACCTTTTGGTTTATCATGAGGCAGGGGGGAGTGGTCGCAGTGCATTCTACAGCACGAGCTCCCCACAATCTTTCATCACCTTCATGATGTACATGGACACTTCGCAGCCAGAATATCGTTGAGCAGAGCGATTGGAAAGTATTACTGGCCACGTCGGTATGAGACCTTAATCGACTACTGCCGCAGCTGTCCTCAGTGCCAGGTGGTAGGCCTCAAACCTCCAAGAGAAGCTCCGCAGGCAGTAATCTCCCTGGAACCCATGCAGCTGTTCGCAATGGACTTCATTGGCCCTTTTTCACCAGTGTCGAAGGAAGGAGCACGATACATCCTCGTCGGGGCGGATTATTTCTCCCGGTACATCTTTGCGCACACCACGACGGTTGCCACAGCACAAGTGTCTGTGCACTTCCTCAAGTATGACGTGGGAAAGCACTTTGGTCTACCGCAGTACCTCTATACCGACAATGGACGGCATTTCACTGGGGAGGAGTTCACCTCATATCTTGCCAAGAAAAGTGTTAAGCATATTACTGCCCCTGTCACGGCGCCATGGTCAGTTGGGTTCATAGAACGGATTGTCCGTATGATTGTGGGACAGTTACGGACGATTGTCTCCTTAGACTCGTCCCAGCTGTCTGATTGGGACACCCATTTGCCATCAGTCGTCCAAGCAATCAACACCCGCCATATTGAGGGTCATGGATTTTCGCCAGCTGAGATTCTCTTCGGGTTCTCCCCGAGACACGTCGGTGCACCAAGCTTGGAGAGTCGTATCGCTGCCGAAGGCACCACGATTGCTGTAGATATGGACCTACGACCCGCAGTCGAAGGGAAAGCTGCACGCGTACAAGAAGCCCGCGATTTGGTAAGGGCGGCAAGGGCGGTAACACCGCCACTCCCGTCGACCCGTCTTAGCGAAGGTGACTTAGTTCTGCTGTGGGACACCGTACTTGAGAAGGATAAGGGCCGAAAGCTAGATCCCCGGTGGAAAGGTCCGTTTCTGCTAAAGAAGCTATCACATCACAAGCGTTCAGCAATCTTGGAGGACCTCCTTACCAAGTTACGGGTCGGCCGATACCACGTCGACCACATAAAGCGTTTTGTTGCCAGATCCGACGATGCCATAGCAGAAGCAAAAGAAATACGACAGAGGCTCTTAGAGCGACAGCGGGAAGCTAAAAGAATCGCAAAGGAAGCGAAGAAGGTGAACCAGAACATGATTCTCATGGATTGTTGGGAAGAGGGGTATGGAAAGGGAGTCTGATCGACCTACGGCCTCGACATTACTCTGAGGCTTAGAGCATTCACTTTTGACATCTTTTGCAGGCATTCACTTGACGCGACGCCTGCTCTCCTACCCCACCCTTTCTCACCTTCACCTCATCTCTCTTCCTTACGCGTCACCTTCCTTATATCTCATGAGCCTCATATCCATGCTCTATCATTCTGTGCTTCATTATAGCATCTATTACTGCGTCAATTCATTACGAACCTCTTCTTTCAGCGGAGCAAGATGACTTCCAAGGGCAAGGATAGAGTGGAGGTTGCGACCGGCGAGGAAATTGAAGCAACCTCAACCGGAACAGACATCTCGCAGCTACTGACTACACCTGAACCATTTAACATGAACATCATCACGGATGTCGACTGGGAAATCGAACGACTGGAGACACTGGCGGCAGAATATGACTGGTTGAATACAAACCCCCGGTTCCTCACCCGATACGGAGTCCTGACCAGCCAGCGCGAGAGACTTGCGGGAAGGAGTACTGGATCTCATCACTCGACTACACAAATGGAAGATGAGTTCAGTGATACAACCTCCAAGCTTTCAGAGTCACCTCAGCAACAGCAGCAACCCGCATCCCGTAAAGGGAAACAACAGGTACCGAAGAAGCCTACGATGAGTTTGCACCCTAGTCCCGCTACCAGAAACCTTACTGAAGATGAAATCTTGCAAATTGCAACGCAGCCACCGACGTTCCGTAGCAAGTACTCACGCTACTGGAACTCGAATGGGAAGATCCGCCCCAAGTTTTTCAACGTCATTTTCTTGGAAAAGGATGGCGCCTTTGTCCTGCCAGAGCTGTACATCGCTTCGAATGTTGAAAGATGGCAGACAAGATATCACCAGTTCAAACATCCGGAACTCCTCAACCATCGTGGCTCACTGCGCCGGCGTGCTGTCAAGGCACGCGCAGACCAACGAGACCCGACAGGCCAATATGTTGCAAATGAAGTGGATGAGTTGAATAACAGCACACGCCAGCGGGTGGTCTCTGCAACCTTTTACCATGAGTCTCTCCTAGGAGCACAAACCAGAGCATTTCCGACCACATCCGCATCCCGAGTAGAGAGAGCGGAGGCTGAAGCAGTGAGACTCGCTGGCCTCATTCATGAATCAGACGCCTACTTCCGTGAGGAGGTCTTGAAGGTGGAGCGAAAGTTTAAGAAGGCTCTCAAACAGAAAGAATCAGAAGTCGACAGATTGCACCGCCGGATTGAAGTCCTAGAAAAGGAAAACAAACGGTTGAACAGTACTGTAATCCGGCAGAACAGGATTATCGACCGGCTGACTACGGATGAGGACTATTACAGCGCTATGTCTACCGCTCCGTCTACCGCTCATTCTTCTGCTTCGACTATCCCCACGATTTGAGTCAACTTTGGGTGTTCAAATTTTCTCGTCTGCGAACCACACTCGAAAATTGTAGTTTCTGGGATAGCTGTGACGGGTTAGAGTGCAAACAGTGCAAACCGGACTGCTAATCGTGACTGCCCCATTTCCCACTCCTGACGAAGTTATGAATTCCCCTGGAGGGCCCCCCCTTCTATCTGTACTTTATCATCAATCATCCATAATCGAGAATAATCGAATACTATCAGTTTCATCAGTTTTCACGGTGTGTGTGGCAGTACCCTGTTCTTTGCGCGTAGCCCGGGCAGCCGCGGGTTGAACTAAGTAGTAGTACCGAGTCAGTAGATAAATACTAGTACTGCTCTTGACTAGTGCGTCTACTATCGAGTATCGTATCTACTCCTCTCTCCTGTTGTTCACAAACTCCCCCTTTCCCTCTGCTTCCCTCAGATCGCATGCCATTCTCTTGTGTCTTTCCATCGAGTATTACAACTCTCTAGACTGCAGTAATACCCCCTCTTTTTCTTTTTCCTTTCATTGCCAATAGTTTATTTGATACATACTTCATTGTGGTTAGCGTGCACTCAACCACCAATTGTATTGCTTCCCACATTCTTTGCAGCTGCCATACTCCCGTCCAGTATACTGTCAACCAGCCATCGCTCTTTTCACACTAGACTATTGAGCCCACTATCATTCATAATATCCTTACTATCACATCGGCTCTTCTATTAATCAGATATCTACCTTCCGTCCTATCGGGTTGGCTATCTTGACGATTCGACATCTTTTATTGAAAGAGACTTTTCACGCCACGACCCTTTTAGCCTCTCTTCCCCAGGGTTCTTCTTCGACTCCGTCCTATCGCCGTCTTCCCCTCTTTTCCTCATCTTACTTTCTCTCTCAGCCTTCCCCTGAGAAGTACTGTCTTCACTCTCAATTGACTTCAACCTCTTTAATTTGATATATAAATCTACCTCTTTTTATTTATACATATATCTTGCGAACGGGGTCATCATAAACGAGGACCCGTCTTGAATTCGAGTACCGCATTTATCTCCGGTTCTTTGTGATTGATAACGACTCGGAGCCGAGTCCCTCTTGAGACACAATGGGTTTCATCGAGAAGTTGCAAGCAAGTAAGTTTATTCGAATCCTCGCTGCTGTCGAAGAACAATTCCATATCCCTCTGAACACAACCACGAATTCACCTTATTGTGTCTCCTAACATCCTATTCGCAGAGATCGAGCTCTACAGATTAGAGCAGCGCTACGCCCGTCGCAAGCACCGCAGCACATTCTCTGGCGTCCAATACGTCGACGGCGAATATGTCTACTCCAACGGCTCGAACTCGCCAACAGGAACTGTCTCCAAGCATTCAACTGGCAGTTACTGGAAGACCCCGACCTGGGGTGGTTCCGGTTCCGAGTCGCGATGGCGGTGATGAACCGATCTGACGCCGGTTTTTCTGTTCTTTTCCACTTCTTCCCATTTGCCCTTGTATATACTCGGCATTATGTTTGTGCGGAGGATATGATGACGTTTCCGATCACATATGAATGCTTGCTATTCGATTTTCTCGCGTTCTTCTATGGGGACAGACGGCCCGCCGCGAAGCGACATAGAAGACATGCGCCCTTACTTCCTTCCCAATCGCGATCTGTGATCATTTTAGATCCAAGTCAAATGGACTTGGTCACCCTTGCTGAATGACCTGACTTGATACCGATTACCACATGGCCCACCAACCATCTCTGCATGATCTTCTTTTCCCTTTCCTCTTTTGGAGGGTTGACTTGAAAGACGTGACACTTCCGCGCTCTATACTTTCTTCTTCATTTTCGATATTTGGATTTTCTATCCTCCTTTTCTACTTTGTTATATGTGAGTGCATGCGAAATTAGCGAGTCGTCGCAATGACTTATAGGGAATGGATTTTCTGCCGTGGCGAGCGCTGGACAACTGTGCATAGGATTCAAACTCCAATATTTTGAGTCAAATCACCCTAGAGCTGTGGACAACCCTACTTGCTGTTTCACAAATACTGCAGTAAAAGAACAAGTAAACTGAAGTAATCTCATCTGTATGGATATCACTGTGGGTATAGATATAGTGTGGCTGTCGTACCACGTCGCCCTAGGTCAACGACATTCCACGTAACAAACACGCGACACTTGGGTACGCGCGAAAGAAAAGAGGCAGACAGCCGGAAACTTCTGAAGCGAAAATGGCATCGTCATGTTTTAGCACTCCAGAGCTTGTGCGCTGACAACGCTAGTTTCTCTCAACGCTTGGACCTTCTGCTCCCAATACCTAAACGACTGAGATTAGGAAGCCCCGACTTATTCCTCTGCGTACCACTAAGGAGAGAGCCACGGTTAGGCGTGCCAGAGTCTCCGGGGCTATTGCGCCCACCCGAGCCACCCATGTCCGGTCTGCCGCCTCGAGGCGAGTCCGGGAGCCCACGCTCCTTGCCCCTGTCGGCTGTTGCAGCGGCAGACAGGGCGGCCGTGAGGGAGGGGTTTCGTAGTCCTGCGGTGCTGCCGTCCTGGTCGAACTGCCGTTGAGAAGCACGTTGCGCGCGGCGGGCTTTCTCCTGGACGGTCTTGAACTTATCGAGGAGTTCGACCCACCGGATGGTGTTTTCCTCGCGGTTTTTCAATCGACTGCCAGTGCCGCGTTCGTAGCCTGATGATGAGGATGAAACCATGCTCGTACTGGTTCTTTGTCAGCTCAGGTTCCTTGCAAAAGGTAAAATTTTTCCTTACAGTCGAGGGCCGGTATGCAGGAGGCCAATATTGCTGACGCTATTTAGACGATTCTTCAACGCAGCAAATGCGCTGCTTTGAGGGAGGAGCATGAGAACTCCGTAGAGACACTTGTACAGATACGGGTATTTTTCTGGTTCGAGTAGCTGGAGACGAAGATCTGCTGTACCTTAGTCTCGGAATTCGAGGGGTCATATAGGTAGGAGGGAAACTAACAGGTAAAGACAGGCGACTCCAGGAGCTGGACCAGTTTATCAATTTGGATCAACATATTCACAGTCATCTCAAGCTCAGCACTGGTCCTACGTTAGTCACCATCGGAGATGGGGAAAGGGACCGGTGAACGTACAAGACCTGAAGAAGGTTATAAGCCTGCTCATAAGCCTGCGCAAGCAGACAGAGAGAGAATGTAGAAACAGCATTGTGGCACCATGACCGGAACAGAGCGACAAAGAACATTTGACCCTCCTTTCAAGATATATCAGTAACTGCTTGCAGCGGTCGACTCAAAAGGCTCTCCTACCTTGGAGTCAAGATTCCTTAGCCTCTTTCTGAGATCTGATAGCTCAGGTGCAGTAATCAGGTTATTATTCAGATTCTGTACCATGATACTTGCAAACTCGATATCCTAGACACCATACCAGTCAGCACTTGAAAGCTCTGCATACCTGAGGATACTAACTTCTTCTTTCTCGAGGCAGTCTGCTAGAGTCCGATAGATGCGCTCTGGGCTTAAATTCATGCAGAGTTGCCGAATGATCAGGTTGCCTCGGACTTCCAACAGATGTCTGTCGGTTGAAAAGAGCTGAAGCAAATTGACCATGAAAGATGTAAAGTAGCTATCATCGCTGTTTCTCGAGATCTGTGAAAGAAGCTGGAGGTCCTTTGTGACAACAGCTTCCGCAGGGTCTGACAGCGTCTTCAGAAGTGCAGGGAATGTCCCATCGTTGAATGCGACCACTTTCTTTGGCGCCCTCCGATGCAACATAATCAACCAAGACAGGGCAGCCACCCTTGTGGCTTCGTTCTCATTCAGGAACTGCAAAGTCAGCGAGTTGACGGCTGCGGCATAATCCAGATCCGCTGGAGGAATTGGCGTAGATATCACACTGCTACGAGGTGTCTGTTCATTGGGGAGCTCTTGTTGAGAGGCTTGCTTTTTCGACTCACTCTGGGACGTTTCGACAGATTGACGACCACTTGGTGTCGATGCTCTTCTCTCCACAAGCTCTTTGCTTGCGGTGGATATTGGTCTGGAAGGGGGACCCTGTCGTGTTTCCTCGGCGCTATCCTCAGACAGGGAGACGATATACTCAAGCAATGATGTGTTGACGCGGTTTGCGGCCTGCCGCACTTGGTCTGAACCACTAGACATTGCTGGGAGAACCTGTGTCAAGAGACGCGGGACGAAAGGGAGGATATCTTCAGGGCTAATCTCGAAGAAGCTGTCAATCCAGCGTAATGCAGTTAACTGCATCTCCTCATCTAACTCAGTGTTTAGTTTGCGACTACGGCATAATGCACCACTCAGTTTGCTTACCAAACGAGGTATCGACAAACCCCACAAGGATGTCCAGAATCTTGGGATAGTCAATGTGAACATCTTGCCCTGGGATCCAGTCTCCGTCAGCTTGTAAGTCATTTTCCTCGAGGTCAGACTCAGGCTCCGAGTCCTCGATAGCATTTTCACTGCGCTCAGTGTCCACAGCCACTGTGTGGTCAGTAGTAGTGCTGACACTATCACTCGCGGCCGACTGTCTGTTGTCACTCCCTTGCTCTCTGCGACTCTCTTCTATGCCTTTCTTGAGGCGTGCAATCCTCTTGATTTCAGACAAAAACCTGTCGAGAAGAGTCTGGGTGGTGACATTGACGTCTCTGTTCGGATCACCAAGGAACTCAATTAATCCGCCCAAGAATTCGGGCAGATATGACACAAGCTCCAGGTCGGGAATGGTGTCCAGTAAGGTCAACCATGACACCAAGAAAGTGCGTGTGGATGGACTGATGACGTGTATCCGTTCCTTCAGCAAGGGTATGAACTTGGCCAACGAAAACGCAGTGGGCAGCTCGACCTCTTCCTGCGCATCGGGATCTGCCGTATGCTTCTCTGATAATTGCAAGACCGAAATGTAGGAGGCAGCAGATTCCGACACAATGTCCTTGACAAGTCGATCGAGAAGCTCCGCACCGTTTTTGACAGATAGCTCGGAATCGGAAGCTAACTGAAGTCGATTTTAGATCATACAATATTACACAAGAAAATGAAGAAAATAGCTGGGAAAGACTTACTTTGCTCAGAGCGTCAAATATCTCATTGAAAAAAAGAAGCACCTCCCCTTTTGCGACTTTCGCAATGTTGTACATGCTCTCGCATGCGTAGTATCGGACTCGGGCATCTTGGTCGGAAAAGCAAGCAAGAACCGGTGGCACGATCTCTTTTAAATATGGCGCAACGCCCTCCTGATTCAGTCCAGTCTCAGCACCAGTGGTATCACTGCAACCTATCCAACAGACTCACGGATCCAAGCGCTATTGAAGCTGCAGCTAACCCGATCAAACCTCCATTTCTCGCATGCGGCTGATGTACGGCGTAGGCGTAGTCATGACAAAGCTGGTCGACAATCTTCTGAATCTCTTCATGATCTCCTCGGAAAACGGCATTGCGAACGACTTTCTCGAGCCTGAATATGGTTAATCAGTATCCTGTCGGTCGAAGAGTTTCCCGGACCAGGATCGGGAAACCGTACTCTAGAGCTCCCTGTTTTCTGCGATCATAGAGCTTGTCATTCAGCAGGCGCTGAATCGAATGATCCATAGCTCAAATAAACATAGATTTGATGAGTTCTCGACCCTCGATTTTCTGTTAAATAGTGCTCATGGTGGAGGGACGATTTCTGGCTAGACTTGGCGGTGAATCGGGGACTCGAGCTCAACGACCTGTAGCTATGAAAAAACTATCAATACCAGGCTGCACCCTTTGCACGGTCAGAACCAAATAGGGCCGCGAGACTGCTAAGTCAGCTGCTTACGCGCGCCTGGCCGTTGCGATAGCAATGTGGGGAGCACTCTCAGCGTAGATGCGTTGGCAGCGTTGATGGGGATATCTTAGTGGACTTGAAGTGACGTAGTTGTCAACCATCAACGACAGGCCTTAGCGCCGACCATCGATACTCGAGCCTTGCGGTACCACAAATCCTTAACGTACAGTCTCTCAACGTACGACATATATGCATACGGGGAAAATGTATTCGGCTATATCTCCGTCCTATCACCTATGGTGTTCTAAGTTGCGTTGAGTACCTAATCGCTCTAACCGCGAGGACCATAACAAGGCATCAAAGTGACCCCCAAAACTCCAAAAACTAACATGAAAGCGTAAATGCTCCGAGCGAGAATCATCGAGAGCCTTAATGACTAATATATTGGAAGACGGCGGACACATCTTTTTCTCCAGTCTCCTGGCGTATCAGTAGATCTTGGATCTTACTGAGCTGGCCGTTCTCGCCATCATTCACAAAATGATTCCAGGAACTGGTGTCACCGTACAACATGGCTGGAGCTTTAATGTACTGCGTTCCATCCGGTCTGCATCGCTTACATTTGAATGTGTCATGAGTGTCACTTCGCGTTTCTGGCTTGAACTGGAACAGCTCGCGGAGGGACTCCAGCGAGAAATGTCGCTCAACGTCTTCTGCGGAATCCACGACGCATGACGAGAGTGATTGCTTGTGGGATTGACGTTGGAAGATCTTTTCCTCGATCGACCCAGTTGCAATGAAACGATAGACAAAACAGTCTTTCTTTTGTCCGTCACGCCAAACTCGAGCCAAGGCCTGCTGGTCTGCAGCGGGATTCCAATCTGGATCGAACAACACAAGGCGGTTTGCGCCGATCAGATTCAATCCACAGCCGCCCGCCTTGCTGCTTAGAAGGAACACAAATTCCTCACCGTCTGGATTATTGAATTTGTCGACGAGCTTTTGCCGCTTATTAATGTTCATAGTACCGTCCAGCCTCAACGAGCCATAGCCTCTCGATCGGCAGAGTTTCTCGAACAAGTCGAGAGTTTGGGTGTAATTGCTGATGAGGACAATCTTGTCATTGGTATCCTGACGGATACGAGCAAGCATACGATCGAGAACCATCATCTTTCCAGAGTACCATGATTTGATATCTCTATCTCGCCCTCTAGCTTCAGGTGGAACATAATCCTCCGGAAACGTATGTTCGCAACCGGGAAGATCTCTCGTGAGATCAAGTAAATCCGGATGATTGCATAGCTTTTTCAATATCCCAATGGCCTTGAGTGGTTGACTTCCCTTTCCCCTAAGTAAACTCTTGATCTCGGGGCTCTGAATGAAATGGTTGTAGAGATCAAGCTGAAACTGGGAAAGGTTGCAGAAGACAACATGCTCGTATTTGACTGGTAGGTACTTCGACAGAATATCGTTCGTCCGCCGAATGATGAATTTGTTCACAATACCGGACAGCTCTGCCAATCGCTCGTCGCCTTTCTTCCGATCTTCCTCTGTGCCCGCGGCATCTCGTCCTTTTAGAATAGGTATTTCGAATCTCTTTCGGAACTCGTTTTGCGAGCCCAGCAGATTTGGGTTGGCAAAATGAAGTAACGCGAAATACTCCGAGAGATCATTCTGAATGGGGGTACCCGACAAAATCACACGACGAGTCACATTCAGACTGTTCAAAGCAGTCCACGTTAAACTGTCTTTATTCTTGAGTCGATGGCCTTCATCGCACAAAAGAAGCCCAATTGGACTGTCTTTTAATGCATCGACATACATTCGAAGAGTTTCATAAGAAACTATGAGAACAGGCCTGACCACGGCCCGCCCGGATGCGATTGCCCATTGCTTTATTTGGGAGGTGAGCTCCGCCTTCGAGGCTTTGCCGTCTATCGCGAACGGCGTTATTGCATCCTTTCCCAGCCATTTCACTGCCTATGTTAGTACAATCGAATGATGCAAAGGGCTAGTGGCTTACCAAGTTCGTTGGCCCAGTTTCCAACCAGACTGGACGGACAAGCAATAATACATTTTTGAATTGTCGTCTTTCCTGCTTCCGGTGATTGCTTCAGAAGCGTCCACATGAGGGAAATGCATTGAAGCTGTCAATGTTAGGTTTGATCAATATCTCGAAAGAAGTTGCGGCATACAGTCTTTCCCAATCCCATACCATCGGCCATAATGCAACCATTCGCATTTTTATCTATCATACCGGTTGTACAGCGATAAAGGAACTTGCGGAGAGGACAGGTCAGTTCCTGGATTCGTGTTCGCGTGGATGTAGAGAGAATCATTACCTTTACACCTTCCACTTGATGTGGCCTCAGAACTTTCGCCAGTCTGGGATCTATGACCACTGGGACCTTAGGACGAGATTCAACCTTCTTCTTCAGCCCGAGTATATCTGCTAGGCTCTTGTGCATCAACGGCTCATCTAGCTTGGCTTTGGTTTCCTCCGTGCCCTTGTCTTCAGGCTTCGATTCCGGAGGCTCATCAATATCGTCGACGGTCGGATCATATAAGACTATGGCAAATTCTCCACTGGGATCGTGTAGTGGTTTCACAACAAAGGTGGCACCTTGCCTCATTCCCAAAGTGGGAGCTGGTCTCGAAGGATTATATTCATCAGAGGACTTGTTGATCAAAGGGATCCGAAATCTTTGCTTAAACGTGGTTTCTTTGTCTTTGACCTTAAAGACCGGGAATTTATTGGCATCTCTTGTCGCAAGAGCAAGACGTTCTTCGTTGGTCCATGGCTTGACGCTGTTGTCCTCCACCTCTCCATCTGCTCCCGCATAGTTGACTTTCCTTCGTTTTCTCGCAGGCTTATCTGAAGTTCGGGTAGGGGTGGCAGACCCGGGACATTTGAAAGGCTTTGAAAGACGGTCTATCGAGTTGGATGATACGCTTCTCTGTAGTGGCTTGGATAACGGGGTGTTTCCACCTTCGGTTCCTACAGCTGGTTGCGGGCGATACCTATTTCTGTCAATTCAGCTCATTGGAACGTAAAGAGCCTAGGATGTACTCACATTGATAGCTTCTCCTATAGGAGGATAGCTTCACAAGTAGCTGGTTGGATTGCCTTGTCGCTACCTGTGGTCATCAATCCAGGCTGAGAGATACGATGATTGCCACTCGACGCGTTGTCCCCAATACTTGGCGCGTCTCCGCTGTTGCCTGAACACCAAAGTACCACGCAATCACGTGCGGATATTGTTAGCCGACCCCGCCATTAGCCATGGTAGGAATAATACCGAAGGCAAACGATGTAGGTAGCCATTGCTCAGGCTCTCGACCTTGGGAAATTGTTCTCAATGTCGTCGGACTTTTGGGCGGGATACCTCAGTGGGGCTATTGGAATCATAATCGGCAACCCTCTAGATGTTGTCAAGGTTCGATTACAAGCTGGCGGGGTTAATGCAGCTGGATCAACAAGCCGGAATGTAGGCTCCTTTGAGAATGTGAGCTCCCTTGTGCGAGGTTGGTTGGCCCTCTCACGATGCAGAACCTGACATAAACACTGACATGGGTACTCTGCAGGTGCTGCTGCTCCCATACTGGGATATGGAGCACTTAATGCGCTGCTATTTGTCGCCTACAATCGTTCATTGATGTTCATGGATGATTCGGTAAAGGATCCCACCAACCCTTTTGGCGTTTCGCTCTACAAAATCTGGCTTGCTGGTGCTGCTGGCGGAGTGGCCAGCTGGACAGTCTCATCTCCCACAGAGTTCATCAAATGCCGAGCGCAACTTGACACTCGCCCTGGGGTCTCTTCGTGGACTGTCGCCAAGGACATCTTTCGGACCCGAGGATTGACGGGTCTCTACTTCGGAGGAGTGATTACTTGCGCCAGAGACTCGATTGGCTACGGATTTTAGTATGCACAATGCTTTCCCCGGGCCTTTCCCCGCCAGTTCTTGTCGGATGTTTATTTACATATACCACCCACAGTTTCTGGTCTTATGAGTACTGCAAACGTCTTATGGCCTCCGAAAATGACAACGCGCATGAGATTGCTTTGAAAGTACTTCTCTGCGGAGGCATTGCTGGAGTGACCACATGGGCTTCTGTCTACCCGCTGGACATGATTAAGACGAGACTGCAAGCGCAGACAATCACAACAGCTCCCGAGTCCCGCCCACTGATACCTATACAGAGCAAGCCCCAGACATTGAATTCTTACCAGATTGCCAAAGCCGCGTATCAATCCGAAGGGTTGAAAGCCTTCTACCGAGGCCTGGGGATTTGTAGCTTGAGAGCTTTCATAGTAAACGCTATCCAGGTATGTGATCTCAGCAGCGCCATCACCATGGAATAGCATTTGCTAATCATGCGCAACAGTGGGCAACATACGAATGGCTCATGAAATATCTAAACAGCTCCTGCGATCAGACACAGAGCTGTGTTGCTGGAGTTATGCAAGTATAGAGCAGAGGGGACATTTATTATGTTTAAGATCAACCTCTAGACTATACCACTGTATCTGGTATTTATTGCAGCTAGTAAATAATTTTCATACGTACTAAGACCCAAATAAATGTGGGCCGATGCTAGTAGAGGGCCGAAAACCGGCGGTTTGAAGGTCACCGCAAACCGGAATTGGGCTGGCTCGGCTTTGGGATCGCCTATAACTGGCGAAATTCGGAATATGTGGTTTCATGTGCGGCTCAGACCCAGCTGGTTGCTGATTGGACGAAGGAGCTTCACTGATGCCTTCAAAGCAAACGACAATAAGGTAACCTGAAGGTGTAATTCAGTCGTGCAGAGTTTGTCGCCGAGTTTGCTCTTGGACAGAGGATCGAGGATAGTGTATCTATCGAGGGTTGTCCTTTTGTTGAGGATGACCGTTAGGCTATAGGCTGTCTAGTCCTCCATGTCAACGACCGTTTCCTGTTGTCGCAATCCATTGTCGGTACCCAGACCGACAGCAGCCTCTGCGATTTTCTGTGAATGAGGTTCCTCGCGCAGCAACCGCAACCTGTTCAAACACCCCTGGGTCAGATGTGATCGGTCCAAGAAGAAGTTCGCAATGTTTATGATCACCGACCTTCTCTTGTGGTTTTTGCCCTTGGTATGGGCGACCAGGTTGTATTCGCTCTCAAACCATTTCGAACATTCGACGCAATAATGCTTTCCTAGGCCTGGAAGATCCTCCGCGTCCTTGGTGGCTTTGTACTGCGTAAGGTGCTTGGGAGAGTCAATGTCCGCTCGGACTTGATCGTAGTCCCTGCAGAGACGAGTGATGTTAGAGCTATCGGATCTTCAAGTGTACCAACGGCGCGATGAGTGTATCCCTGTATATCGTACCTTGTTCTGCGCTTTGTCTTAATCTTTCTCACAGCTCCCATCTTGAATATCTGTAGACTTAGTGTAGTATGGACACTATTCACCAAATAGACACAAAATTGTTATCACCGATATACGGAACGATGCAAAAGTTTTAGGTCTTTGGAAGCGGGTCACCTTGTCTCGAAATTTCCGCCTCTGTCCATAAAGAGGGATTTTCTCAAAGTGCTCGCTTGTGATTGGTGTGCGTTCTCCTGGGCTTGGCACCGGCCCGCGGGATGCCCCTTCGGTAGGCCTCGGCTCAGACTCGGCTTAAACTGCATACCCCCATACAGTCATTACACCATCTTTCCACGTTCTGTAATTTATGACGTTTTCATTCTTTTCGGCATGTTGCTCCGTCCTAGGCTCCCTAGCATCATCCAGTTGCGATTCAGGTAAAGTAATGATCGTAGACCCATAAACAGCCGCTTTCTGAGGTGTCCCTGTGGACACCTGTCAAGCTCGTTGCCCTTGATGAATAGGAAACAAGTCCTCTGTACTATTCTTCAACATGGAGAGGACCATGTAATCATTTTGACCTAGATGAGTTGTAAGGTAGGATCACGGAATTCAGGCTTCTTCTACAATCGAAGCCAGTGGACCACTGCCGAGTTACCTCAGTACAGAATCAGAGTGACGATAGATAATCGTTGCCACATGATTGGCCCACCGCTATTTCCCTCTCACATGCCCCAGAGTGGAAGCACGGGCATCAGGCCGCTTAGGTGTAAACCCATTACATCAACCCATACCGTTTTCTGTAATGAAGTTGAACATGGGGGTGCTAGGTACTCCTTAGGCTGGCAGCAACATTGAAGGCCATTAATGATGGCGCTTTTCAAAGACTCCTAATGAGTCTGTGGATCAATTTCTCGAGACCTCTGGTCTTCAGACCAAGAGAATTTCTCCAATTGTAATCAAGATCGCTAGTGTATGGTGAGCTTTAATAGAATAATGGAGGAGGCGGGCTTCCAGCCATTTTTCCTTGTCTCCGGTCGCAAGCATGGCGCCGATTGTACCGAAAGCGTACGGCCGTACTGTCACGAGCGGTTACGGGTCCTCTTCTCCGGTTCATCAAGAATTCTTCCCACACCAAGCTTCCTTTTTATCTGCTCCATCTCCCTTTGATCCCTAACTCCTCTCTTCTACTTACTTTCCCACTCCACTCCATTCTTTACTGAAGCTGGCTGTTGTTGCTGCTTGGATTGGCTCTCGTTGGATGTATTGCGGCATTGTCCAACTCACATAGAGAGCTTCCATAATGATCTCCACAAGGCTTGCGCGCGCCGGTGCGCTGGTAAGTGAACTCTAGCTCCTAGCTCATCCTTCAAGCACCTGCATTCATGTGCGATGCATTGAAGGATGGGTCGAAGCAGCAAAATATGAATTATCCAGAAGCTGACATGATACGTCACAGGCCCCCAAGTCCCGACTTGTAAGAATCCCATGATCTCACCTCGCCGAGCTGTTCTCCAGCGAGCAACTCGGAAGCCGTGGCTATGGCTACTTGACCAGCAGCACAGGTGTACTGACTGATCTTTTGTGCAGTTCCTCGGGACCCGGGCCTTCGCTACCGTCGGTGACTCCCCTCTCGACAAGAAGGTCGAGATGGCCAACACTGAGAAGGTGAGTGGTCTTGTTCAGCTAGTCCAGCGTTACTGTGTTAGCTCGTTACGGGAACAGGATCCGCTAACGTATCCGCCAGGGTAACTACATCAACTACAAGTATGCTATAAACGCCCTTTGCACTCATCCCAAAACAATCCGCTCATACGCAGAATCTGGAAATCAGCATTAATTACTCAGTTACTAACATGTTCATTAACTTTTCAGGAAGATGTCTGAGAACCTGGATATTGTCCGTCGTCGCTTGCAGCGTCCTCTCACATACGCCGAGAAGGTTCTGTACTCTCACCTTGACGACCCTCACGGACAGGAGATTGAGCGTGGCAAGTCCTACCTGAAGCTCCGGCCCGACCGTGTCGCTTGCCAGGATGCCACCGCTCAGATGGCCATTCTGCAGTTCATGTCTGCTGGCATGCCCTCTGTCGCTACTCCTACTACCGTCCACTGTGACCACTTGATCGAGGCCCAGGTTGGAGGTGACAAGGATCTTGCTCGTGCCAACGAGATCAACAAGGAAGTTTATGATTTCCTGGCTAGTGCCACCGCCAAGTACAACATTGGTTTCTGGAAGCCCGGTTCCGGTATCATTCACCAGATTGTCCTGGAGAACTACGCTTTCCCTGGTGGTCTGATGATCGGTACCGACTCTCACACCCCCAACGCTGGTGGTCTTGCTATGGCTGCTATTGGTGTCGGTGGTGCTGATGCTGTCGATGTCATGGCTGGTCTTCCCTGGGAGTTGAAGGCTCCCAAGGTCATCGGTGTCAAGCTTACCGGTGAGATGTCCGGCTGGACCACTCCCAAGGATATCATTCTGAAGGTTGCCGGCCTCCTTACCGTCAAGGGTGGTACTGGTGCTATCATTGAGTACCACGGACCTGGTGTTACCTCTCTGTCTTGCACTGGTATGGGTACCATCTGTAACATGGGTGCTGAGATTGGTGCTACCACTTCCATGTTCCCCTTCAACGACCGCATGTACGATTACCTGAAGGCCACCAAGCGTCAGCACATTGGTGACTTCTCCCGCGAATACGCCAAGGAGCTGCGCGAGGACGAGGGCGCCGAGTACGACCAGCTGATCGAGATCAACCTCTCTGAGCTTGAGCCTCACATCAACGGTCCCTTCACTCCTGATCTTGCTACCCCCATTTCTAAGTTCAAGGAGGCTGTCGAGACCAACAAGTGGCCTGAGGAGCTCAAGGTTGGTTTGATCGGTTCTTGCACCAACTCCTCTTATGAGGACATGTCCCGTGCCGCCTCGATCGCTCGTGACGCTCTCAACCACGGTCTGAAGGCCAAGTCCCTCTTCACTGTTACCCCGGTTCCGAGCAGATTCGCGCCACTATTGAGCGTGATGGCCAGCTCCAGACTCTCGAGGAGTTCGGTGGTGTCATCCTCGCCAACGCCTGCGGTCCTTGCATCGGTCAGTGGGACCGCAAGGACGTCAAGAAGGGCGAGCCTAACTCCATCATTTCCTCCTACAACCGTAACTTCACTGGCCGTAACGACGCCAACCCTGCTACCCACGCCTTCGTTGCTTCTCCCGACCTTGTCGTCGCCATGACCGTTGCCGGTACCCTCAAGTTCAACCCCCTCACTGACAAGCTGAAGGACAAGGACGGCAATGAGTTCCTGCTCCAGCCTCCTACTGGAGAGGGTCTCCCCGCCAAGGGCTACGACCCCGGCCGTGACACCTACCAGGCTCCTCCCGCCGACCGCGCCTCCGTCAACGTTGCTGTCTCCCCCACCAGTGACCGTTTGCAGCTCCTTGCTGGATTCGAGGCCTGGGATGGCAAGGACGCCAACGGCATCCCTATCCTCATCAAGTGCCAGGGCAAGACCACCACCGATCACATCTCCATGGCTGGCCCATGGTTGAAGTACCGTGGCCACCTTGACAACATCTCCAACAACATGCTGATCGGTGCTGTCAACGCTGAGAACGGCAAGGCCAACTCTGTCAAGAACAAGTTCACTGGCGAGTACGATGCTGTCCCTGCTACCGCTCGTGACTACAAGGCTCGTGGTGTTAAGTGGGTTGTCATTGGCGACTGGAACTACGGTGAGGGAAGCTCCCGTGAGCACGCCGCTCTGGAGCCCAGACACCTTGGTGGTCTCGCCATTATCACCCGCAGCTTTGCCCGTATCGTAAGTCTTTCTGGTTCGTCACTTTGCATTCTGCGCAATAATACTAACTCTCTTTCCACAGCACGAAACCAACCTGAAGAAGCAGGGTATGCTTCCTCTCACTTTCGCTGACCCCGCCGATTATGACAAGATCAACCCTGAGGACACCGTCGACCTCCTTTGCACTCAGCTCGAGGTTGGCAAGCCCATGACTCTCCGTGTTCACCCCAAGGATGGCAGCGCTCCCTTCGACATCTCCCTGAACCACACCTTCAACGAGTCTCAGATCGAGTGGTTCAAGGATGGCTCTGCCCTGAACACCATGGCCCGCAAGTCCGGTACCAATTAAATTAGTTGCGACAGTCCGCTTGAAGGCTGAACCCTCCGCATACGATGTCGAAGGTTTGTAAATTATGTCTTGAGTGTTCCTAGCGATCACTGGGAACATCTTTTTGAGCTTCTGAGTTTAGTGTATGTATCCTGCACTTGACTCGAGTTTGCAATGTTTGGAGAGTGGACAGCGGCCTTTGGGCCTGCTTTTCACGGTTCATGAAAAACGGTGTTCTGAAAATTCTAACGATTTGTGTTTCTTCGTTACCACGGAAGTTTTCCTTGTTGTTTTCTACCATCCCGAATTTGGGTGGGCTCTATGGATATAGGCTTCCGTTTTCTTTTTTGCACACAGCCATTGTATGTTAGGGATCGCATGCATACCAAAGTCATTTCGTTTTATGTTCAAGGCTAGATCATTGTGATTCATATCTTCTAGTAGCGGTTTGGCCTGTCTGGTTAAGTCATAACACGTGAAAAGGCGAGGCTGCTTCCCATGTGCCAAGTCCCTGGAGTTTGCAAATGCCTCCAATGTGTTATGATCTTCGAGCTGGAGCAACTGGAAGCTATACAAACAATACACAGAAACCAACAGAACTTCACTAGCGTACCTAACGACAGTTTAGCACCCCGCAATGAAACAACCTCGGCTACTAAGGGACCGCTCTCTCCATACTCGGGCTTGAGCAAAGTGAACCTACCTAAATTCAGAAATGGCGATTAACAAGTTGTAGACCGCAGAGCATTATAGTTGCGTCTGATTTTGTATGGATATCCTCTGGCTATTCCTGAAGACTCGACGGTTGATCCGATAGAAAGAAACAGTTTGTAAGCGGCTTTTGTGAAACGCAACAACTTCGCAGGCAAACTCCGCATATATCAACCACCATTAACATCTGTTCCTAAACCATGGCTACACAACTTGTCCCGCTCTCAGAAGTGGAAAGGCTAAGTGCTTCAGTAGTCCGGATACTGGGGGAAATCCAGGGAAGGCGAGTGCATTCTTGGCTTTTAAGCTTTTTGCGCAGGAGCAGATAATACAAATCAATGACCCGGTTCGAAGCTAACATGCGATCGATCTTATAGTTCACTCTGCAAGGTGAGTGGCTTACACAAGAGTCCTAAAACGAATCAGGCGCCTCATGCTGGATATCATAGGGACGAATACATATCTAATCGGACGGGGCCAACAGCGGATACTCATCGACACCGGCGAGGGCAAACCGTCGTGGGCAAATCATCTTAAAGGTGTGCTAGCAAGGGAGAATGCGACAGTCCACAAAGCACTCCTGACACACTGGCACCACGATCATGTCAATGGGGTTCCCGATCTTCTCAAGATTTGTCCGCAAGCGACGGTTTACAAGCACCAACCAGATGAAGGTCAGCTTGATATTGAAGATGGCCAAGTCTTCAGCGTTGAAGGCGCTACATTGAAGGCGTACCATACTCCAGGGCATACCGTGGACCATATGATGTTCGTTCTTGAAGAGGAGGACGCCATTATCACTGGTGATAGTGAGTCTTACTCTCCGCTAGGTAGTTGTTCTATGTGGTCACTGTTGCGGCTGACCTTTTCCTTTACTTTTTCTTTTTAGACGTGCTGGGTCATGGGACAGCAGTATTTGAAGATCTCCCAGTGTATCTGTCCAGCCTGCAGAGAATGCAGAATCGGGTCTCAGGCCGCGGATATCCAGGCCACGGTGCAGTGATAGAGAATGCAACTACGAAGATCACCGAGTACATCAACCATCGGCAGCAGCGTGAGGAAGAAGTAATTCGGGTATTGCGGTATGGAAAACTTGACGTCCGGGATAATGAACCTTCTCCAGAACGCAAGGCTTCATGGACCCCCCTCGAACTAGTCAAGGTTATCTATCGGAATGTTCCCGAAAGTCTTCACTTGCCTGCTTCACATGGTGTCTTGCTGGTGCTGATGAAATTGGAGGCCGAGGGAAAGGTGGCCCATAACACAGAGACGGGGAAATGGAGCATAGACAATGGAAAGTCTGCATTGTGAATCACACACTACTGCCTGGCAGCGGATGCTTGATTTCAAATCCGTCTCATAACCTTCCTGTATGCGCGATTATTATCGTGAGATATATGTATGTAATATGGTATCTAGTAGTAGCTTAAGGTGACAGACAATGCTCTAACCAGTGAAAGTGCTTCCGGTCAGATTCCAAGATCTACTGAGTATGCAAGAATTTCAAGAAGAGGTTAGATTAATGTTGTAACAGCAGCCAGGCCATGTGAACCTAAAGTATGAGATTGGACTCCCAAAACGCCACCAGTTGGGCGCCTACTTCACTATATAAATATCGCTGATAGTAAACATGCAGGAGTTATGATTACGGCGCCAGCCCGTCATCAAGCCACGAGTACGAGACGACTGGTGGTTGACCCATGAAAGAAAGCTATCAAAGGATGCGACATAGGACCGGAAAAAAATGGACTGTAGGCGGGATTCGTTTCTTTCTTTGGTAAAGGAAACCTGATGCTGTTATCTTTTTTTCCTTGGAAGTGTTGGCATCATCGACGGCTTCTTCCTTGACTGGTCGGGAAGTCCAAGGCGACACTCACTTTCCTTAGGCTGGGCACATTGCCACAAACCTTAGGTTACAACAATAGTATACTGTAAGTTTACCGCTGATACTGGCTCTGCAAGTGCCCAAATTGACAGACCTGGAGACCTGCAGTAGTATGGGTTTACCGAGCAGCAATTTTTATTGTTACCTGTCACTTATCTTAGACTGAACTGGTTTTAACCGGTTACCCCTCCATCTGAATCTCACTGCCTATTGTTGTTATTAATATCACTACACTATTCGTATCAAACCATACACATGTATTGAGGGGAATCAAACCAAGTATTTTTATGTGTCTCTCCCTCCCGGTCTCAACAAGCTGGCCCTGATATCATATATCCCATCCGAATCTCGCAGTCGATGAGCTCGCTATTGAAGAGCAGGCCGCTTTCTTGCCCCCCATCAGTCTTTTTGCCCAAATCTGGGTCCGTTGGTCCGCGCGTTTTGGCTGTTTGCTGGGCTCTGAGGTCACTCTTCCCCGCCAACCTCCAGCTTGTTTCTTCCTCCTGTCTGAAGACAGCAACGTCAACGAATTCTTCGTTCAAGGAGTGAGCGAGCTGTTCAGGATCAAAGCTACAACCAGAGAGGACTACATTTATACAGCATTGGCGACCGATATTGTTGTCCCCTGGCGCTGTTATCGGCGCCCTTCATTCCCCTCACTGTCGGATTGCTCTAAAGATCGTCCCCACCTTATTCTCGGCATACTCCTACGCTCCGTTCAACGTCACCGGTCTTGACTTGCCTTACTTCTCTTTAGCGTCGCGTTCTGTTTCTAAAAAGGTTTCCGATTGGAATAAACTTCATTTACACTCTGTCGCCGGTCCGATCAGATATTCCCGACTGTACCTGTTCTGATATCCCGCAGCCACATACCCTGATACGCTATGCCGTCACTCGAGAACTCCACCCAAAACGAGGCGAGACTGCTTCTCGTCTCCAATCGGCTTCCCATTACTATAAAGCGCTCGGAGGATGGCAAGTATGACTTCTCCATGTCCTCCGGCGGGCTGGTCAGCGGTCTTAGCGGCCTGTCCAAGTCTACGACCTTCCAATGGTACGGCTGGCCCGGGTTGGAGGTTCCCGAAGAGGAAATCCCTGTTGTCAAACAACGTCTAAAGGACGAATATGGAGCGATCCCGGTATTCATTGATGATGAACTCGCGGATCGGCACTACAATGGATTCTCCAGTTAGTTCACTGTCTCACACATTGTTGAAGCAGGCGAATTGTACGCTTTTGCAGTGCGCAATCAGAATGGATCGCTGACAGCGTCTGTGTCGTCTAGATTCTATCCTGTGGCCACTTTTCCATTACCATCCAGGTGAAATTACCTTCGACGAATCAGCCTGGGAGGCATACAAGGAAGCGAACCGCCTTTTTGCCAAAGCCGTTGCGAAAGAAGTTCAAGATGGAGACCTGATCTGGGTCCATGATTATCACCTCATGCTCCTTCCTGAAATGCTTCGCGAGGAGATTGGAGATAGCAAGGAAAACGTCAAGATCGGATTCTTCCTCCATACTCCCTTCCCTAGCAGCGAAATCTACAGGATCCTGCCCGTCCGTAACGAGCTGTTGCTTGGTGTGCTCCACTGCGATCTCATTGGGTTCCACACATATGACTATACGAGACATTTCTTGAGCGCATGCTCGCGATTACTGTATGCTTAAGGCCGCCTTTGATGTTGATTGACACTTGAAGCCAGCTAACATATACCTTCAGGGGCTTGGCAACCACTCCTAATGGAATAGAGTTCCAGGGCAAGGTCATCGCTTGCGGTGCTTTCCCAATTGGCATTGACCCCGAGAAGTTTCAGGAAGGTCTCAAAAAGGAAAAGGTCCAGAAACGGATCGCACAGCTTGAGCAGAAATTCCAGGGCGTGAAACTCATGGTGGGTGTTGATCGCCTTGATTATATTAAGGGAGTTCCCCAGAAGCTGCATGCTCTCGAAGTCTTCCTTAGCGATCATCCGGAATGGGTGGGCAAAGTCGTACTGGTACAAGTCGCGGTGCCTAGTAGACAAGATGTTGAGGAGTATCAAAATTTGAGAGCAGTCGTGAACGAATTGGTTGGGCGGATTAACGGTAAATTCGGTGGGTGCTCAGCAGCCGTCATTTTATCTTGGACATCAATATCTGACTGGCGGATTTAGGAACGGTTGAATTCATGCCCATTCATTTCCTGCACAAGTCAGTCAACTTCGACGAGCTGATTGCTCTGTATGCCGTTTCCGATGCCTGCATCGTCTCGTCGACTCGAGATGGCATGAACTTGGTGGCATACGAGTATATAGCGTCTCAACAAAAACGACATGGTGTGCTTGTTCTGTCAGAGTTCGCTGGCGCGGCCCAGAGTCTCAACGGCAGTATAATCATCAATCCGTGGAACACGGAAGAGCTAGCCGGTGCTTACCAAGAGGCTGTCACCATGAGTGATGAGCAGAGAGCCCTCAACTTCTCTAAACTGGACAAGTATGTCAATAAATATACAAGGTAGGTAACCCGTTATCCGTTGCTGACCGGCGTAACCTGAGCTGACGACATCAAGCGCTTTTTGGGGCCAATCCTTTGTCACCGAGTTGAACAGAATATCTGCGCACTCAGCTGGAAAATTCCAATCGCGAAAGGCCAAGCTGTCTGAAAGTGCTGAGGCTGAAAAGCCTATGAATGGTTCTGGAGAGTCGGACGAATCTCAAAAAACACAATGAAATCGTCATTTCTTGCTTAGGGAATGAAGAGCTGGGATCGCTTGATGGGATGAGGAAGATTCCCCGCCGGTTTACGAGTTAGGCGCGGACATAATTCTGTCTCTACTATGCTTTGTGTTCATGATAACAGACTCTTTGGAACGGAAAACTACCAAGAAAATGATCACGAATAGATTCCTATGCGCGGGTAGGCATGACAGGAGGGAGGTTTTGGCGTCTTGTATATTAAGCACTCCCGTTAGGTGTTTTTGTTTATCTTATGGGCCTCTTCATTCATCAGATTCGAATTTTCGATATATGACTTTATTCTATTTTATTTCGGGCTATCAAATTGACTTTGATCTCAACTCACATCACTCTTTTGCCTAAAGTCTTGTAGATGTTGACTTGCGACTGAACTTGACAAACAGTGCAAACACCAATGGAGAAATTCTTGGGCGACTCCGCCGTCCGCGGACTTCCAACTCGGACATCACGATCCATATAGGGCAATTCTGTCAATACCCAAGTGCTCATTGCATTTTTCGCACCTAATTGATATACTGGGGACTATACTCTGTCCCCTCCCGGTCCCACGAGGCCACGACTTTTCGCTCTTCGAACGACCGCATCTCCGAAGAAGTCAAAACTCTACATCTTCGAACTGCCGAACGGACATCGCCCCCAATTCAACAACCGAACACGGTCGTTTGAGGTCTCGGAGAGATCGATATTTTCACAAAAATGCCCCCCAGCAATATCATACGGGCAATGCAGCCCCTCCGATCCTGCATCCCCGGTCAACCATCACCACCGCCTCAACCCAAGCTTCCTTCCTCCAGTCGACACGGTTAGGCAACATCGTCAGCCGCGCCGCTTCAACCACAGCCCCAGTCGCCAAACACCAACAGACAGCCCCCGAACTCACGCCCTCGCCGACCGTCGCACCCCCTCCCTCCGCAAGTACCCCTACACCCTCAAGACCGGCACTGTCGTCTCCGTTGGCCGCATGGACCGCACCGTCCGCGTCAGCCACTCCCGTACAACCTGGGACCCGTACCTCCGCAAGACCTACCCCAAGATCACGCACTACCTCGTCGCCGACCCCCGCAATTCTCTCCGCGAGGGCGATGTCATCGAGTTCTCGTCCGGGTTCCCGAAGAGTCGCAATGTGCGGCATGTCGTTGAGCGGATTGTGGCGCCGTTTGGGAGTGCGATTGAGGATCGTCCGCCTGTTATGACGCGCGAGGAGCGCGATGCTGTGCGTGCTGAGAAGAGGGCTGCTAAGTGGCAGCGGCGGGAGGCGAGGAGGTCGGAGGGTGGTGAGGTGCAGGGTGTGAAGGAGCATATTGGACGGATCAGAGCACTGATTTATGAGAGGGTCGGTGAGCTCAGTGCGTGAAGGGGAGGGTTTTTGGGGTCTTCGGAATCGGTATCTGTATGAGGGATATGAGAGTCTCCCTCCTGTATAGGGATTGCGAGATAAAGTGTACTATACTCTGAACATTCATGCTCTTTTACTGTTCTTTTGGAGAATTGGCTCGTCGAAGTACAAGGCGAAATAGCGAGGAATTCGTTCAGATCTGCCATCATCCTCGGTTGCTTACTTTGCCAGCTGAAACTGGCTCTGAAGTGATAACTGTTCCATTTACCTTCAGACAGTGCACTACTACTGGAAGACTGACTGTAAGAGACATAGTAACGTCGTAGGCGCCATGTATTGATTGAAAATGCATTCAACAGTATAGAACAGTCACAGCAGAAAGGTATCTTGAATCTCAATCAACAAGAAAGAAAGAAAAAGGCCGTAAATATCTACGAGGAAAGACGCAGGTTTGAACCAAGGAGAATCCGTCCATGCAACAACCCCCAAAACTGGCAGGATTAAAGACAATACAGAAGGTAATAAGGGTAGTACAGCTTTCTAGCCCACAGGAAATCAGACCTTGCTTCCACCTAAAATATACTGGTATCACAGAATGGAAACCAACTCCATGCCCATAATAGTGAGCGAGCCATGTTCACTTAGATTTCATTCCAATTGAACGACGTCGATTAGTTTGCTTCTTCGTCTTCGTATGCATGCATCTTCTGGTGCGACTTAAACGTTGTTTGAAGAACGACACTGATCAGTCCGCGTCGTCAGGTCGCGAAGATTCGTACTTTCCGGTCGACACTGCCGGTGGCAATGACACATCTGATCGAGATCTTGTTGGCCGCGTTGGGATCTGGTCTAACACCATTCGTTGTCGCGGTGGCCGCCGGTGCTCCATTGGTCTCTGATTCTCCATTGGCTCCCCCATCTTTGATTAATGGTGGTGCCCATCGGAGGCATGTGACAAAATGTCCGTGGGCATCAGAGATGACCCTGACGCACTTGCATTCCTGGGTCAAATCCCAGCAGCGGATAGTCTTGTCGTCTGCAACCGACAGAAGATGTTTACCGCCTGGATGAAAAGCGAGCGCACGAACCCAGTTATCATGGCCCACAAGCGTTTTAAAAAGATTGCCCCGTGAATCCCATAGCCGGATAGTTTTGTCCCGAGACCCAGTGGCGAAAAATTCAGCTGACGAGGAAGCCGGCGGCGGTTTCTTCAAGCCGGAAAGAACCGCGAGATGTGGATAGCTGGCAGCAGGAGCAATAGCAACACATTCAATGACATGTTCGTGCCCGAGGAATGTCGATTTGGTTTCCGCAGATGATAGATCCCACAAGCGAGGAATCCGGTCATCGCCCGCAGCAAAGAGGAACCTGCCGTCGAGAGATGGCGCAACGGCTCGTACCCAGTCCACATGTCCTGACAATGTCTTCACACAATATCCGGTCGTTACATCCCATATCCGCAAAGTCTTATCTCGTGATGCGGAGACCAATAGGTTCCCCGACATAGGCGAGCCTGCCGCGCCAGATGGGATGAATCTCACCGAGGAGACACTGTGATCATGACCTGGCAAGGTTCTTATGTTCTTGTAGTTATCAGATGGATCCCATAGCTTGATTGTTAGATCAGATGAACAAGACGCCAGAAGTGTTCCGCCGCGGGGCCCACCATAATCGACGTCTAGCACCGCCTTGGTGTGCCCCTTGACAGTCCGTTCTAGTTCCCCGAGCTCCCAATCCCAGATTTTGATCGTCGTATCGTCTGAGCCGGATGCGAGGGAAGAAAACACCGGGTGGAACGCAACACATGTGACAGGGTCTCGGTGGCCCTCGAGTATATGGCGGGCAGGGGATCGCGGTAACCACGATGTAGGGTCCTGATTCTTTCGCAATAGTGAAGTAGGCGTTGCAGAGTCTAGTTCTGACTGGAGTGCCGCGCATCGGGACTCAAGGTCCATGATCTGATCAGCCCAAAGGGGAGACGATGGTCAGTGCTATCCGGCATTCATGACGCAAAACGAGATTCGCGCAGTCCTAGCGACCAACCTTCTTCTGCAAGCGGACCACACTGGTCCATTTCTTCTCTAATAGCCCCTCATACTTCTTGAGCGTCGCATCGTCAATGGAAACCGAATCGCCTAGCTCCGCTCGCAGAGCAGCAGAACTCTCAGTTAGGTTCACCGAGGCAAGATAGGCGATAATGGATTTGTGTCTATGGAGAACATTTGAGCGATGTCAGCGTCACACCCTCTCCTCCTCAATCTTTTTCAGTTATTGTAACCCAGGAGCAGTGACGTACAGCTCCTCTGCCTGCCGCGCCGTGAGTAGCTGGCTCATGATCAACGGCAGTTTCGTGCGCAGTCCCTCCAAGCTAGTCTGGCCCTCTGCATGCACTGCTGTAGCCTCGTCGACCGAGGCAGGTGGATTTCTTATCAGTATACCGTGCGATCGTCCGCAGGAGAAGTGAAGTCCTCTAAGCTGGCTCTTATTGGCAATTGATCTAGGAATTTGTATGGAAATGATAGACCTGAGCCGGGCGGTGAGCCAGTTGGATGTCAAGAGGGGGAAGGCTTTCTGTTTTGCGACCGAGGGGATGGGTGTGAAAACGCAGGGGAGGGGACAACGTGGGAGTCGTATCTGTCGTCAGAGCGGATGCATATAATTTATGTTATGGAGGAGAGGTGACTAGTGGTGATAGCGCAGAATCAAGCCCAGAAGTAAAGAATTAAGAATTGATATGGTGCTGGTTGACACAACCGTGGGGGAGACAAATGCCCAGATTGTTTGTTTAGTTGCACAACAGCACAGTTGGGCATGTGCTCCCGCGGGCCTGAATGCCAAGGCAGCCAGTCCACCCAATCTTTGGGTCGCGAAATCACCACAGCGACTTGTTGGTTGTTTACTGTCCGATTCTATCGGATAAATCATCGTCTGCCTCAAAGTGGCATGTTCTCCTAGACGTCCACCACACCCTTTTGCCCTCCTATTTCGTTAAAGATACCCGAAGAGGTGATTCAAGATTGACTGAAGGGATTATATTCATCTCTTCAGGTGGCAGTTGTGCATGTCTTGATACACTCAAGACTGACCACTACATGAAAGATCCACAACAGGAGACCCCTCCGCAAACAACCCCTCTAAGGTGCGTTCCTGGTCTTTTCCTGTTGCGTGAAGTCAGCAGCAGTTTGTTGTCTAGCCTGAGCTACTCGTCGCTCTCGACGAACTTGTATAGATTTCTGCATATTGCGCTTCGGCTGTTTACTGTTCTGTTGTGCCATGCCACTTCCGGTGGAATGAAGCTAACTGTATTCGCGTCTCAATTCTAGTGCATCTTCTAGCTAATAACATTACCCACGCATATAATCTGTCATCATGGCTGAGGGGGAGGAGGACTTTTCTTCATTGCCGTTGCCTGACCGGTTCTCTCACAAGGTTAAAGCCCCTTTACCCGATCCGATGTCTTCGGTCAATTCTCATCGATGACACAAAACGCTGACAGTCTTCCGAATGTCTCTAGAATTGGAAAGTGCGAAAGGAAGGTTATGAAGATGCCAAGCGACAGTTTGAAAAGTCACCCGACGAGTCGGATCCAGTTTTTGTACCATTTCTACAAGATCCAGGTCTCTGGAAAGGGGCAGTGTCAGATTCGAATGTAGCTGCTCAACAAGAAGGTCTTGCGTCATATTGCTCTTTTCTCAAATATGGGGGTGTCCAGGCTTGTACGCGGTATGTCTAGCCTTAGCACTGTGCCTGACATTTCACCCCGGTTCGACTTTGGATATAGCTGACAGGTTTGCGCAGAACTCGCGGATCCACGATAGGTCCTATTGTGGAAAAAGGACTTCCCTCCACCAGACCGGCGGCCAAAGCAAATGCGCTTGAAGCTCTTCTACTCTGTGTCGAATTAGATAAGGCAGATCCGGTTATTGAGGAAATAGTCCCTATCTTGTCGCACAAAGTACCCAAGGTGATTGCAGCGGCATTAAGCGGATTGAAAGCCATCTATCACAACTTCGGCTGCAAGATTGTCGACCCCAAACCAGTCCTGAAGGCCTTACCCAAAGTATTCGGACACGCAGACAAAAATGTCCGTGCGGAAGCGCAGAATCTCACAGTCGAACTGTATCGATGGTTGAAAGAGGCTATCAAACCGCTGTTCTGGGGAGAGCTTAAGCCTGTCCAGCAACAGGATCTCGAAAAGCTGTTCGAAAGCGTCAAGCAGGAACCGGCACCAAAGCAAGAGAGATTGACAAAAGCGCAACAGGACGCGATGACAGCAGCTAGTGCTGCTCCAGAAGGCGATGATGGTGACGGGGAAGCTGGAGAGGTCTACGCAGATGAAGATGATGGCGAGGTAGATGTATTCGATCTCGCTGAGCCAGTCGACGTCTTCCCAAAAATACCAAAGGACTTTAATGAGCAGTTAGCATCGTCGAAGTGGAAAGACAGGAAGGAGGCGCTGGACGCTCTGTATACTGCAGTGAACGTTCCGCGAATCAAGGACGGGCCGTTTGACGATATTGTTCGAGGTCTTGCAAAATCCATGAAAGACGCAAACGTCGCAGTCGTGACCGTCGCCGCCAACTGTATCGATCTCCTCGCAAAGGGTCTGCGGGGTGGCTTCGCGAAACACCGATCCACGATCATGCCGCCTATCATGGAACGATTGAAAGAGAAAAAGCAGACCGTCGCAGATGCTCTGGGGCAAGCCTTGGATGCGGTCTTTGCATCGACGAATCTATCGGATTGTCTAGAGGAGATTCTAGAATTTCTCAAACATAAGAACCCACAGGTGAAGCAGGAAACCCTGAAATTCCTGATTCGCTGCCTCCGAACCACTAGAGATGTTCCATCGAAAGCTGAAGTGAAAGCCATTGCCGATGCCGCCACAAAGTTGCTGACTGAGTCCACTGAAGTCAACCGTGCAGGAGGAGCTGAAATTTTGGGTACCTTGATGAAAATCATGGGCGAGCGTGCGATGAACCCTTACCTGGACGGACTTGATGATATCAGGAAGACAAAAATCAAGGAATTTTATGAGACCGCCGAGGTAAAAGCGAAAGACAGACCGAAGCCCATCGTTGGGCCGCCAAAGGCCGTGCCTGCCGCCGGCAAGAAGGTCGTTGGAGGGAAGAAGCCAGCTCTGGGAATGAAGAAGCCTGCTCCAGCTGCTGCGGCGCCTCCACCAGAGGAGCCTGCACCGACCCGTTCTCCTCCGAAACCCGCTACAAGGTCGATCCCTTCGAAACTGGGTGGGGTTCCCAAGCCTGGTGGACTTCCCACTCCAGGCGCTGGACTCAAGCTTCAAAGAAAGCTTGGCGGTCCTGGTGGCCTTGCTTCCCCACAGCGTCGGGTCATCTCCCCCCCTTCGGAAGAACAGCCTCCCGCGCCAGCTGCACCGAAATTTGGTCTTGGGAGAGGGCTTGCAGGCCGTCCCATAGCCAAACCATCAGCTGCTCCTGAACCAGCTCCAGCTCCAGCTGCGCCACCCCAAGTGAGCGGGATTTCAGCCATCGAAAGGGCTGAACTCGATGAATTGCGCCTTGAACGAGAAAGGTTCCTTCGAATGATTGAGGACTTGAAGTCTGAAAGAACTCGACTCAACTCGCAAGTGACGGAGCTTCAAGATCAAAATGCACAACTCATTGAGGATCATACAAGGGATGTTCTAAGTATCAAAGCCAAGGAAACGCAGTTGGTTCGAGCCAGGAGTGATGCAGAAGCGGCTGAGCAGACGGTTCAGAAGCAGCAGAGGGAAATTGATCGTCTAAAGCGTGAATTGGCCAGAGCTCTCCGGGCCAGCGCTCAGAGTCCTCCCAACGGCTTGTCGGATAATATGAATTTGCCAGTACCGGAGGCGTCGATATACCATGAGACGGGTATCAACGGCTATGGTGCCATTCCCAGAACCGGCCTGCACATGGGAAGTCGCTTTGATGGTGGGCGACCTCGGAGCTACGTGTCTGCCAGTCCAAGTGAGGAGAAAGAAAACACCGATCTGGAGTCACCGGGACGCGGTAGCAGAGACGGAGGCCTTGGTCGACGGAAGCTCAGCCCTTCCTTCGGAACCAACTACTCCGGGATGGGCAGTCCAACAAGATCGTCCATACCAGGCTCTGGTAGTGCTTCCGGAGAGGAGCAACCGATGAGGAGTTCAGAACCCGCGGAAAATTGGAAGAGAGCCGCAGAAGTCACCAGCCAACTCAAGGCGAGAATTGAACAAATGAAGGTATGTCTTTAACCAGCACTGTTCATTTGCGACCCTATCTCTGATCGATCTTACTAGGCAAGACAAGGTCTGTCGCGAGGCCCTGCGCAACGCTAACGGCTCCATGAATGATTCTCGATTCTATATCCTATGACATGATTTCTCTTCTTTCTTATGACAGCAGGCTTTTTGACCTTGGTACTGGCCAATACCCGGCGTTTTCTTTCTCTTTTCCAATTGTGAGGTCGTTCCTCCCCTTGCACTTCTTTCGGCCGCTTGTTCGGGGGATCAGCTGTGGTGCTAGGGAAATAGTCATTTGATTGCATTTGTCGGGGTCTGCTTCTTCTATTGTCATGCCTCTGATGTATAAATTTACAGCATGCTTGCGCGCGGATTGTATTTTATGGATACGGGTCTTCGGACATTAGGTATACATGGAAAAAATAATGGGCATACGAAGGAGGGTTATAAATCCAGAAGGCTGGGGTTTCATCACTTTCACGGTCATGATTGACTCGAAGGGAAGAATATTGTACAGCATCGGAATCAAGTTCTACAACAAAGATGGTACAGGCTAGTAACACCAACTAGCTTAAGCCTCGTTCTACATTGCAGACAGATATCACGTGCATGAATGCTCAACGTCAATTATGCTCTACGCATGGTTTGCTAATTGATGTCTGAAAATGCATTCATGGGTATCTGCGACGTGTACATAAAAAGGAAAAACAAGGTGGGCCATCAATATGGATTGGAATTGAGAGGGTGCCGGAGTGCTCCACCCATCTAAGCTAAAATGCCGTCAACAAGTCAATATGAGCCTCAGAACACCATTCCCATTTCCCAAAGTGTTTCAACTTTTGATTACATCCATCCCCCTGTGGAGAGAATAAAAAGAAAAGGACCGCGAAGTCATAATGTCGTCCGGAAAACCCCGTCAATCAAATTGATCAGGCTTTAAACTCTGACGGCAGCCTCAGCAGCCTTGCGCTTCTTCTCCATGCGGGCAACGGCCTTGGAGCCCATGATACCACCACCCCAGTGGCGGCGGGACTCCTCATACTTGTCGGTGTAGCCCTCCTTGATGGTGGAGAGGAGCTTGGAGAACTCAGCCTTGTCCTCGGCGCGAACCTCGGTGAGAGCAAGGACAGCGGCGGTCTGAAGGTGTAACGTTAGCGCACGTTGCAAGGCGCATGATAATGGGGTTGTGTTTATCTTACCTTCTTGTGGACAACGGTACCGAGACGAGCCTTGCCCTTGACAATGGCATAGGGGACACCCATCTTGCGGCAGAGAGCGGGAAGGAAGACAACCAGCTCAATGGGGTCAACGTCGTGGGCGATCAGAACAAGGGAAGCCTTCTTGTTCTCGACGAGGCCGACAACGTGGTTCAGACCGTACTTGACGTTGTAGGGCTTCTTTGAGACATCCTCCTTCTTCTTGCCCTCAGCGACAGCGGTAGCCTCAGCGTGGAGACGCTCCTTCTTCTCGGCCTTGGTCTCAGGGCGGTACTTGTTGAGGAGCTTGAAGGTCTGGGCAGCGGTGTTGCGGTCCAGAGTGTTCTGGAACTGAGCAATGGCAGGGGGGACCTTCAGGCGGAGGTTCAGGATCTTCTTCTGGCGCTGAAGACGGACATACTCGGGCCACTTGACGAAGCGGGAGAGGTTGCGCTTGGGCTGGACGTCCTGGCCAATACCGAAGTTGCGGGGGCGGCGCTCAATGAGAGGGTTCTAGAAGCTGTTAGCAAAAGCAATTCTTTCCTGAAGTCTGGGGAATGACTGCATACCTTAGCGCCCTTCTTGCTAGCGCCAGCCTTGCCCTGGGGGTAGGGGAGAGGGGCGGCCTTCTTTCCGGACTTAGGAGGCTGTCATTGAGAAAAAGAAGATCAGCGAGTTGTCCACCAATTGCTGTATCTTCTTTGAACTCTAGAGAGAACACGAGAAAGAGTCCAAAGACAACTTCTGTGACTCCAGCCAAATCATCGCCGGTGCACGCATCTCAGGAGAGAATTGTGCGACCAACGGAATATGCCACGACCCTCGCGAAATGAGGTAGACAATTTCTTGTCTCACGACATGTCGCAAAATGATCGACAGCTCTACAAAGAGAGATTCGAATTGGATATCAAGGGCTTACCATTTTGTCGACTGAGTTCCGCAACGGTGCTGGGTGACGGGATTGACAGACAAGGGAAGAGAAAGAAAAGTTGAAGCTCTTTTTTGATCATCGAGAAGAAAAGCCGCCGTTGCATTTGTGGGTCGCGCTAGTGCGGAAAAATCGCGGGCCGGGTTCTGTTGCTGGATTTGGTCACATGCTCTAGGGTTAACCCTTCATGGTTTCGAAGCTTGATTGCTGCCTGAATTTATGCCTGCATCCTAAGGCAATAAATATAGAGTACGACGTAGTTAGAGATGTCTGACCTAACAAAGTGTGATCGAGTCCTTCTAGGCATAGAATCGAATAGTTGTTCCCAGTTATCTATGTTTCGGGACCTTAAGATCATCTCATAGCCATCATATGTACAGAATGCGAATCCCAAGCCAGACGCCGTATCTGTAGATGCAATCGAATTACCCGATGCCCTGTAGCACTCGAGCAAACAAATATGGGAATCAAGATATTCAGCGCCAAGCACCAAGCCCTGAGAGCCCTCCTCGACCAAGACCGGAGCTGGCTGCTTGTATGGCCTTCTTTTTACCTAGATTGCCTTCCTGTTCTCGCACGCCTGCAACAATCTTGTCGATATTGGTCTCGACCACGACACCACCGACAATCATCTCACTGAGAACCGCGTGCATTGTCTCAAACCCGAAGATAAGATCCAGCTCGCAAACGTTCTCAAATATCCGATCCAGGGCTTCCACGAAAACTTGTATCAGATCGATGAGCGCAAGCGGTGACTCGGTGGATGTGGATATCATGATGAAGGACAAGGTGGCATAGGTACGGTAGGTGACTTGCGTAGGAGCATCGGAAGGACCATTGGCTGCGCTTGAGCGCGCGCCTTGCGAAAGCAATGGAGGCAGTGGTAGGAAGTTGCAGGCACTCGGCGGACGCTGTGCCACCAGATCGTAGATTTGGGCAATCAGTGACTGTTTCGTTTGCGTATCCTAACCGCGATGCAGAGACTTATGTCAGTCAAGTTCAATTTCAGTTCAGCCCATCAGGAACCGTGACGTCCTGGCCACTCACGATTTGTGTATAGAACTTGGTGAGGCGCGGTTGCCCGTTATTGTTGAAGACGAGGACGGCGTTGATCATGTTGGGCGCAACACAAAAGCTATCTTCTGCTTTCTTCGGGGACTAGAAAACAGAACAGTGTGAATGGCGACTACTATATGCGGACAACAGTTCAATTTCTTCAGATAGGTGATCAGGACAGAATTGACGTAGAGTTGGCTTCTGGAACCCCGGAGCTTGCTTATCGCACCGATGCGGCGGGCCCCGTATCGGCGGAGACTCCCTTGGATCCCGCTCGGATCACTTTCTCATTCGACGGCATCAGGCTAGAGCTCAGATACTTTTCTGCAAGCTGGATCTCACCTTCAGTCAAAAATTCATACTCCATAATGAAGACAAAACTCTACGTATGTACGGCCTGTATGCGCAGGAATTTCTCAACCGCTCTCCCTCGCCGAAATTCACCAACAGCTGTTGCGCCATCCAATCCTCCAAATGCGCCCAAACTCCAGCTTCGCGATCTGACTCCGTCCGACCTCTCTTACTACTGGGATACACGGGTACCGAATGAATCTCAACTTTCCTTCGCGGATAAGTTCTTCACTCCGTCGCGTCATTCTCCAGTCAAATTATGGTCCGCCAGCAAATTCCGCACAACACCCCTGTCGTCGCTCGAACCCGAAGTGGCTTTCCTTGGCCGTTCGAACGTGGGAAAAAGCTCGTTACTGAATGCCATAATGGGGAAGGAGATGTGCTGGACTTCATCTAAGCCTGGGAGAACGCGGGAGATGAATGCATTCGGGATTGGAGGGACCAAGGGCGGCGAATCCAAAATTGTCCTTTTGGACATGCCAGGGTATGGAAAGAGAAGCAGGACGGAATGGGGTATTGAGATTTTGAAGTACCTTCAGGGACGGCGCCAGTGAGTCACTCCTGTGTATTGATGATGGGCAACTGGTACTGACTTTGGCCGCGACATGTAGGCTTCGTCGGGCATTTATCTTAATAGACAGCCTCCACGGGATCAAAAAGAAAGACGAGGACATTCTCATGCTATTCCGGAAGTACGCCATCCCCCACCAAATTATCCTATCGAAAGTCGACAAGGTATTAGCAAAGAGAAAAAAGCAGGTTAAGAGCGGCGCATCCGTGGCCAATGTCGCCGCGCTAAGAAACCTGCTTCAAGATCTCAGGCCCATAGTTCAACCGGACGGTCGTGTCGAAGGCCCTGGCGCTTTGGGTGAAATTCTCACATCCAGTGCAGAAATACCTACTGGGCCGGGGCAATTCCTAGGCATCAGTGCCATACGATGGGCCATCTTATCTGCTGCCGGGTTCGATGGCAATGTAGAAGTGAAAGCTGAGTCTATACCGTCCAGCTCGTCCGTCCGAGGCGCTTCGGCAGCTCCACCATGATCGATTGGGACGTCGTGTGTTTGTTCAGATCTCAGACCGTCCTCGAGAATGTGAGGAATCTCAAGCGCTCTCATACCGCATACTCTATAGACAAGCCATTGCATACCTGCCAGTGTGCAATTTAGAAGAATTCTAGGACTCATTTCTGCGAGGCCCCTTCCTTGTCTTACGTCCAGTCAGTTGAATTACATCTTGCGAATTACCTTGCGCAGGATCTTCTCCCAGTTCCTGGGTATGCCAGACAAAGGAGCAGTCGACAGCTGATGGGTCCCAGAATACAGCGGGTATCATCCTGTCCTCCTTGGCTCGGCAAGTCGTTATACTACTGATCAAGTTAAATTGATCGCCAATATTCCAACGGTGGGCTAAAGCTTGTTACAGCACACACTTCTGACTCATATTCTGAGGGCGATCCGTCAAGTGATGGTGTACTCAAGTTCATCGTTTATAAGGCTACCTCTTCCAGCAAAAAAGCCCTACCGCATGAGATAGTACAACTGCACCTTATGAATATAAATGCAAGAATTCAATTCACTTTTCAATGATCGTGAAAAAGAAGTCATAGAGAGTCTATGAACAAAATTTTCGCCTGCTGACGCACGAATGGAAGCAGGAGAAAACAGTCAAGCGCCGTGTGCATCAGAACGGGTCTGCCCAACTCACACAACAACAATTAATCATAATGCATATAGGAAGGACATTTGAACATGGAACAAGAGATATGAATTGAAAAATGATAGAAGAGAGTAAATGAAGCGAGCTGGGGCTAGTAAATCATTGTTTTCGAAAGTCAAAACGCCATTTCCGTCATTTCCCAGCATGACAATGGATGCTGACCACGCTATGCAAAGTCTCTCGATAAACAACAAGTCTTGGATAAAGGGTATCTAAACATTTCATGGCTTGAAAGGCAGAGAGGAAGAGGAAGTAGAGCAGGAAAAAGAATAAAAGTGGCAAACGTTTGCTGATGGTGACCGAAGTGCTCCGAGCCATGCCAGCTGGCGAAGCACTGATGAGCCCAGTAGTCTGAATCAAACGGCGTCAACCGTCAGATAGATCGTAATCTTCGTCAGCATTGTCACCGATCTCCTGTCCCCATCGGTTGACAACTATCCGTCTCCCCAACTGATCCTCCGGGACACCGTCGCGAGAAGCTCCAAAGTCGAGGACCTAAGATGGTTAACTATGATGATGGCAAATTGAGAGACACTCCCACGACTTACCTCAATATACGTCAGAGCGTCGCGCTGTACTGCAGCAACGCATCTTCGGTCATTGAATTTGACCTGCCATACACCGCTCAGGTCCGTGAGAAGATCTCGAACGCACTCCCCATTCCGCACATCCCACATCTTTAACGTCCGATCAGATCCCGAGATCACCTTCTGGCCATCATGCTGAAAGCAGGTAATGGCACCGGTATGCGCGCTCAGCCTGCTCTTGCATTGACCAGTTTCAGGATCCCAGATCCTCAAGGTAGAGTCTGCAGCCGCAGAGACCAAACGGTCGCACTTCAAATCAAGAAGACCCACAAGTGAACTATGACCTTCTAGATTGTAAATGATCGAGCCAGTATCGAGAGACCACACTTTGACTGTGTTGTCCATTGAACCGCTGATGCATCGATTTCTTTTGTGGTCAAGTACAACGCTGTACACCTTGAGTGTATGGCCCTGAAGTCGGTGAATAGTCTCTCCAGTCGATATTTTCCACACTCTCACGGTACAATCATAACTCCCACTAACCAAAGTGTCACCGTGCGCAGCGATCGCACGAACAGAGTGCTGATGACCAGTAAGGACACGGATGAAATAAGGGCAATCGGTATCATCGGCATGGGGTCCACTCTGGTAGTACACCGGATCACCTGGTTTCGGGAGTTTCCAAACTCGTAAACTAGAGTCGCGGGAACCAGTTATGATGATTGGTTCTTTAGGCATCATTTCGGGTGTGCCGTCAGCATTGCTACCAACTTGGACTGGTAGAACAATTTGCAGACAACGCACTGTCGAGGTATGTCCATGGAAAATTTGGGTGCATCTTGCCCTTTCGATATCCCAAACTCTCACCGACCTGTCTGTGGATCCGGACACAAGAGTGTTGCCGTGATATTCCAGGGCCCAAACCCCTCCCTCATGGCCTTCCAGAGTCGCTCTCAAGGCGCCCGTCTTTGTATCGTAAACGTTAATATTCGTGTCGTCACTTCCTGTTAGAACCTTGTCGGTGTCAAACTGGAGGCAAGTAACTACGTGGCGATCATGAGCGCGAAAGGCGATGTGTTTCGGTTTCACATTGGGTTTCATCCAGCCTTTATGAATCGAATGGTGGCGCTGGTAGAGGGACTTGAACAAATGAAGACCCCTGAGGGACGGTAGGCCAATTTCTGGGTATGGGACAGCTGCTGCTGCAGCATTCGCGGCTGCATATGGTCCCTCAGTTGCAGTTACTCCGTTTCTCCAACCTGAGGAGTCCGAGGAATCGGTATTACTCGAGGAAATCTTTCTCTTCGCATATTTGCGACCTGAGATGCGAGTGGCCTTCCTTTTCGGTCGACGACTTACAGACAGAGCCCGTTCATCGGATTCTCCTGGCAAGGAAGAGAAAGCGGACCCCGAAGCGCAATCTGGTTCAGGTTTTATGACTGCAGACGAACTCAGATCTTTTTCCCAGTCGTCATCCCCATGCGGAAACTGCCATCCCCAACCTTCTTTGATTGCACGTTCCAACTCACCATCTGTGAGAACGTATCCGTCCCTGTCAAATAGATCTTTCCAAGTCTTCTCATCCGAATTGATGATATGCCTCCATTTCTTGGACACTTGTGCTGCACGACACATGGTTTGAACGTCGAAATACTTGACGATGTTGAGGCTAAGCTCCAGAGGAAGAAGCGCGAGAAAATCGCACTTCAAAGCTGGATTCACGACGTCGGCCACAAAATGCAGCGTTGGCTTAGGGCATCTCCTCAAAAACTGATACATAAGGTAAGTTTTCAGTTCTTCGGGAACCGAGTCAAAAAATTCCAGTACACTGGGTATGTCCATCAAAGACGAAGTATGACGGTTTTCCGTAGCGACCGGCAGGTTTCCAGACCTGGAAGGAGACAAATCATGGTTCTTTGAATCGTCCAATTGCCGTATGTTTGCAAGACGGGAGGCATTATTATCGAGGCTTGAGTCCGTATCCATCTCTTGGTCTTCTGCCGACTCAAATGAGGAATCCACATTCATTGCATTCAGGGCAGCCACGGGCGACAAGCTGGGGCTGGGTAAGCACATGTCGTGGGCAACAAGGTTTTCAATAGCCGAAATCTGGGATGCAGGTTCCGTTGGTGCCTGCTGAAACGACTCTTCCGACCCGTCGTAGTCAGTGCCTTGGCTTGCAGTGTTCACGCCCGCAGCTCCATCACCATTTACTGTCGGAGTAGCAAGTTGGGGTGAAGGCCTCGAGGACGCGTTGTCCCTATGTCGACTAAGATGTCGATCTCCCTCCCAAATGGCTGCCTTAGCGCGGAGTGCGCGGAGTTCCGCTTTTCCTAATACCGACTCTGCACCGGGATCCTGCAGCACTTCCTGGCTTTCAACCTCTGAAGACAGAGGCGAGCGCAGTAAGGTCTCTCTGCGGGGTATGGCCGCACTATGTACTCTTCTTCGAGGCATCGCATAGTCACTCAAGTTGTAACCGCTGGATTCGGTCTCCGGAGTCGCCAAGCCAGCCGTGTATGTGGCTGAAGAGAGATGAGGGCGGATCTGACGAAATGAGGGCTCCGACGGAAGTCTACCCGGACGTAGCCTTGTGGAAGATTGGTGGGAATCTACGACTGATGCTGGCCGACGTTTCGCGCTGGACGGGTTGGACGGCTGGCTGGATAATCGAGCGGATGCTAGACGACGGGAGGTTTGAGCATTATCTAAAGTAGTGTATGAAGTGACGGATTGCACGAAACCATTCGAGGCTTTCAACGCGTTGTTTGTCTCGTTCACCTGTCAAAATCAAATTAGCCGACAGAACTTTCGGGACATGTAATGTAGTACGCATGTAAGTGAACGGAAACAGAGTGAAGTCACGCTCCGATGGATCTGATTTGGGAGTGCCGTACCTCTTTGATAGCCACTGTTGCATCTACCGGCTCGTTGAACACGACGGTTTTCCCGCCGAGTTCGAATTTGATGTTCCTCAAAGATGTAGGAGTGGGAGAAGAGGCCAGAGGGTATAGCTTAGGATCAAGATCCCTTGTGGCTCGAGGAGATTTGATGACGAGAGGAGGAAATGTGGTAGTGGTAGTGGTAGTGGTAGTCACGACAGTCGTTCGAGTAGCAGGAGCGAAGGAAAATTGGCCAATAGTACTATTGGTCGCTCGATGATCCAGGTCATTGTTGGCATCTAGTTGCTCCATGTTGAATTTCTTGCTGCTGACAACGTTCGCTGGAAGGTAAACGGAGAGTGGGACTGAGGCGAGAGACGCGTCTTGACTCGCTGATAGAGGGTCAGATCGCTAACTTTTGGGTATATGTAAACAACTGTTGATCTATTCACCTAATGCGGTGACGACACGAAGCGAGTCTTGAACGGTGCAGAGCAAGACAACCAGCCTTCGGGGAAATTAATGACCAGTTGTGGGAGAGGGCACGGTGTCTGATAGCACGATAGGCTCGCAGAGACAAAGTTGATGCCCTGAAACCTGGGATGAAAAAGCGAGAGGGTAATTCAGAACATGGTTGCCATAAGAGAGTTCCCGTGTGAGAAAGAGGGGGAAACGAGTCGGAGAGAAACGGTGGTGTTAGCAAGGATTGAAATGCTGCAGCTGACAAGAAAGATGTTGGAACAGTTGGGCGGCGGAGAATGATCGAGGGAGCTGGACCATCACTGGGAGGTGGTTGGTCGTGCCTCCTCTGGCAAGGCTTTTTGGCGCTTCTCCGAGGCTAGTGAGGACTAAGGCACCCACTGCGGTACCCACGTACTAGTTAGACTAGTTGATGGAAGGGGGTTATCGGTATGATGATAAGTGATAACGATCAGGTGAATAAGCAAAAAGAGGATTAAAAGAGGCTTCGCAAGGGCAAAACGTAGGGAAATAAACCAAACAAACAATCGATATTTGGGGTAGAGCGATCTCCAGAGGAATTTCGGATGACGAGGGCGAAATCAGGGAAAAAATCTCGATTGTTATGAGGCAAGACGGGTTCATAATTTGCCGTCCTGAGTTAAATAGTGCCAACGAACGATTAATCACCTTGAGAACTTCCCTAAAGGGACCATAAAAGTGATAGGGTTCCATTCTCCCTTTATAAGGCATACAGAGTAATTTCCTTAATCGGCTGTCATACATCTAGAGATCACGGAGATCCTTCAAGAAAGGAAGAGTTCCAAATATTTACGCCTAGACTTCTGCTACTAAAACTACATCTTATACTGCCCTACACAGCAAGGACACACTGACTACATATCATCATCTCTCTCGCAACCATGATCAGTATTATGACATGAAATTTAGCTGTTCCATCATACGGATCACTTATCAACCTCGCCCTAGAAAGTATGTATGCCATTGCCACTCCATGACCACAGAACCACACGTGATATAGTGGGGCGGACTGAAGTTCTGGGACCTGATTCTTAAGATTCCTGACAGGTAAAAAGAATAATTCCAGCAGACCAAAACGGCCCTTGCGGGACTAGAATTTGCAAAATCATCATAGCCAGAAGGCACTGCTCTAGAATCGGCAGAACCCAGCCTGGCTGGCGCTATGGTTCCCATCATCCTATATCATGTTTGTCATGCAGCAGATGACAAAGTCCAGAAGTTGAACCAAGGATTGCGGGGAAGAGGCCAGATAAGGTAAGTCTGCCATTACGTACTGTGTGGAATCGGAACGCTATCTTTTTTTAGGTTCGCTTTAAGCCGACATCACGTACACTGTTCGGTTCAATATCAAATATGTGATATACTTGTCCAAATGCATTGCAGATAGCAGGTCCTGAGGGAATAGTGTTTCGGTTTTCCTATAATCATGTCTTTCGCCTTTTTCAGGTGTGGCAGTATACCGAGTACGGAGTAATCCTGCGATGCAAACATTTTCAGTCGACCCTGAACACTTACTCTAGAGGCATCGAAGCGTGATCAAAGCTGAAGCTGCTGGATTGTAAACATACAGTTGAGACAAACTCAAGGGTGGGGCAGAATCGTGTTTCAATGTCTCGTCTTGAGGCGCAGGAACTGGGTATAGCATGTTTGGAGCATGCGACGTATCTCAATTTAAGAGCAGAGGCTTTGCAGCCGTCTCGTTCACCCAATCCAGCCACCCGCTTTGAGACCAATTGGGTGTCATTCACATACCAAGGGCCCTAGACTACTACAAGAAGGTCTTCCAATGCGTTCGAAATCTTCTGGAAATGCTCGTGCTCGGTTCATGGTTTGTGGTTCTTGGAGATACAGCTCTACTAAAAGAACAAGAATGAGGGCGTAGGAAGAGCTTCGGAAGAATCGAACAATACAGTTTCGAATTTACAGCGAAGGGCCAAAGCAGGAACTTCTTCCAATATGTAAACCACGGATTATTGGAGTGAGCGCGCCAAGACCGGGAAACATATCGTCAAACATATCGTCACGGAGATACCGTAGAGAGCTAAGGATGAAAGTTCCAAGGATAGCCAAACTGAAAAGATAAGCAGAAAGCTGCAGAAGACAAAAAAGTACAAAAGAAAAAAGTGAAAAGGAAAATGGCTCCATAAGCAAGCCTGGCTATCCTTAAGTCCCAAGGGGCCCGATAGACAGGGAACCTAAAAGAACGTCACTCAAGTGGTTGCATCTGGAATCTCTGATATCCCCGCTTCCCTACCATACATTGAAAGCTCATGATTCCATCCTCAGACTATACCACCTGGAGTTGACAGCAGAAAACTTAACTCACCAATACTTGGAGAGACTTACTATCCTCATTTCCCCTAAACTATGCACCCACCACCTGTGTCGATTGGCCTTGCCGGGTTGTAGCTGATCGTTGCCTGAGGCGTGCGGGGATGCACCTCTACAGAAAACAGTTGTAAATCCCCAGAACCTTGTCCATCGTCTTTCCCTCGCGTCACGATGACCTTGATCTCAGGTCAACTCTAATTATCTTATCTGCAGCCATATTAACATCTGACACGAAATCTCACCCGAAATCAGCTCCGCATTTCCTTGTCTCTGCTGTTCTCAAACCACTTGCGCAGAGGGGGCCGTCAGAGAAAATTGCTCAGAATGGCCCGAATCAAATTTACCGGGCCTGTGTCGACGGTCCAACTACAGCCAACTCCTATTCTCCAAAGCCTCATGTCAAAAGGTGACGTCTCTGCCCAGACTGAAAGGCAGGCGGAAGTGGAGAATATCTCGAGATCGATAGTTGAAGAAAGCACAGCTTTGAAACAGCAGCAAAGCCTTGAATTGGTACAAATCATGCTGCACGTCTCGGTGAGTACACCTGGCCGAATCTGGTTTATCTCCCCACTAAGGTTAATCGGATGTTTATAGCTCGGGACGTTGTTCTATCTCCGGTCAGTTTGTCCTCGCCTTATGCCATACTAACAGACATCCTGATCTGTGCTTCCCAAAGCGAGTTTCTACCGCTCCCGTGCTTCGACGATCGAGATCTGAAAGAGGCTCAGAGGGAAAACGCTTCATCATACAGAGAGTTTATAGATGGAAAACCGCGCCCCGGAGGAACCGGAGCTCTTTCACAAGTCCCCTTCGGGACCGGGAGGAGGGGACAACCACTGAAAATTATCGTCCGAGATTCCGACCCCAAGGCCAATATGATACTCGATGTCCTGGTGCGTCTGCTGTCTACGTTGATCTATATTCGGACCATTGATGGGAGCAGGAAAACGGCATATTCGATGCGCTCAAGAGAAATGTCCTCGGTGCTATTCAATTCACCATTCTTGTTGACAAAGACAAGCCAGAAAATGTCTTGGAGACCTATACTTTTACTTTCAAATACTCGAAAGGTTCTGGCGGTGTGAACAGTCGCCTTGAGAGTCTGTCGATCAATCCTGTGGGCTGTGTCGCCGATTTGAAGTCTGCTCAAATGGCCAGAGTCGGTCTAGAGACGATAGTTCGAAGACTGATTACACTCAGTACCTTCCTACCGAACCTTCCAAGTATTCTCCTCCCCTGTTATATAAGAGGCATACTGGCTAATCCTTTGACAGATAAAAGGAATCTGGGAATCCATTTATTCTATACCGATGACTGTCCCCCGGAGTACGAGCCTCCCGGGTTCACCGGCGCGATGAATGATGTGATCAAATACCCACTTAATGAGAACTGGAGAAAGGAAACCCAGTCTTGCGGAGCAATGAATAGCGGATGTCATACGTAGGCGTCTTTTTCCGTCAGAGTTTTTTCCCTTACTAATTTCATAAGGGTGGGACTAAAAGTGACGTCCCTCAAATGGACCGGACCCGACCCAGAGGGATCGGAAATTGTACCGAAGGTGCCCATGGACCTCGAATATAGAGATGTGGTGCACCGATCTAAGGACATTGGACTTGCCGAGGAGATAATTAACGAGGATGACTTGAAAATCCGATGTAAGAAGTGTCGTATAAAAAATGATGACTTCAGGCGAGGCTTACCTTTAACAGCGGTTCGTTCCACCGATATGTCTCAGGAAGCAACCCAAGATATCACTGAAAGAGAGAAGTTGCAGATGATGATTTCTGTAAGGAGTCCGATTGAAACCATGAGCATTAGATTACATAGCTCACCAAAGCAGACGCAGAGGACATCCCCTCTGCCGGACAGCGAACTCGTTCCAACCCAACCGATCAATCCCAGACCCGCAGTTGACCAAGTCAATAAAGGAGACGCGCATCCAGGCCACGGGACTTTACTGTCACAGAAAAAAGTTGCCGAGATTCAGAAGCATGTTGGGCCACGAGATAGGACTCTCGGCGAGGGCAACGAGAATCAGCAAAGCGTTCGATGTCAATGCGGATGGGATGGAGAGGAATCGGAAATGGTAAGCTTGTTATGTTTTGCAGATGCTGAATGCTAAGTCTAGCAGATTGAGTGTGTTTTCTGCCATTCACGTCAGCATGCGGCATGCTACGGATTTGACAGCTCGGACGATCCCAGAATTCCTGATGTCCATGCGTGCTACCAGTGCCTACTTGAGCCCAATGAGGTCCGGTTACTGAGCGAGATGACCAGTCTGGTGCTTTTGAGACGAGCCCTTAGGATCATTATGGATGAAGGCTATCCAAGTCACACTTCATTATTTACTCAAAAACTCCGTAAGTTCAACCATCAGTGTCAACTGTGAATTCGACTGATGAGCTGCAGACTGCAATGGGCAAACTATTATTCAGATTACCGATATACTGAAAAAACAAAACATCCTTCAGCCGACTCCCGGTTACAAACAAAAGGGATTCCTGAGGAAAGGCTTGCCAAAATTCAAGATCTCGCCCTCGAAAGAAATCCAGCAGAAGATGAAAGAAGAAATACTCAACCCAATGGCAAAGATTGGGCACCACGTGAGTGTCTCCGTACCATGAACAGACTTCAAGTTCTAAGACTATTGTAGTATGTTCTACCTGGCTCCTCGGCGGGGCCCGCTTCTCGAGATCAGGCTCCCGTTATAAGAGCAAATGTGGGAATAGACCAGGAAACTCCGAAACGAGCAGAGTCTCTCGGCAAACCGGCGGAGGAAAACAGTGCGCGCAAGAGAAAGCAATTGCCGCAGAGCTACGAAAATGATGACGACTCCGATGACCTTGACAGGAACAGCAATCAGCCACCGACCCAGGCACAAGCCATTGATAGCCACCTCGGCGGAACTCACGAGTTAAAAGACACTCCTCTTGATAACTCAATGACTTCCCAGAAGGAAGGGCTTGATAGCCCATCGAGCAGCGAGGGCGCACTTCGACGTAGCAGCAGGAAAAGACGCAAAATCAGCAATTACTCTCGGCTGATTGATATCGGCGCTGCAACGAGCGAGGATGAACGGGTGCTTTGAAATAGGTCTTGATATCTTCTTATTCTGTACGGTTTTGTGCAACGGGTGCTTGACCAAAATCAAGCCGGCGAGTAAAGAATTATGAGTGCCCAAAGTCAGTTCCGAAGCTCTCAGCTCCGCAGGATTCGGTCTGGAAGCAACTGGCCGTGCTGATGTTTCTCATTCCTTACGTGCACGCAGAGCTCCTGGCCTAAGCGTCACCCCTAGCCTTGTGGCCTCGAATCCCTCGATTCACAGAGGAAGGGGCTCAGTAAGGGTGACATAAAAGAGCAAGAGGAAACAGGAAAGAAGTGAAAATGAAGAACTGCAAGAGTCGGGGTCTAACTCAACGATGTTTTGTGCGAATGATTGACATGATAGATGTACTAGTATCGAACCTTTAATCACAGCTTCTAATAATTGATAGCTTGAGTAGCCAGTGTAGTCGCAGTGTCAGTCGGACTCAACTCAACTAGCCATGACCATCCTTATATTCCCGACCATTAACGAATTCAATTCTACATGTGAGAGCATGCAAAGCAGGCAAGAATTCAGACCCTATCATGAGCATATTAGCCCATCGAGATTTTGTGATTGGAGAGGAAATGCAGACCTATTTACAGGAGTCCATCTACCGAGTAGAAGACTGCGGTCCCAACTTCCAACATATGCTGCTATCAAATCGACTTCATGATGCGTCCTTCCGTAGGATCTCTATGCCTGGAAGAATCCTCCTCAACTAGCTGCGACTCCTGCAGCCCCGCCTCGTTTGACCACTTGGCTGAAGCAAGATGTTCCATGTTCAACTCGTCGAAAGACCGGGTTGCTTCCGATTTCCACAGCTGGCTATTGTGATACCTGACGCTTGAGAGTAGTCCTCCACAATAATGATAGTACATAGAACATGTGTACGGAACAAGTGAGCTTATGTTATCAGGATCCCCAAGCCCGAAGCCGCCGTTGAGACTGAAACCGGCTAAGCAGCTTGGTTGAAGCTTATCCATTCTTTATCTACCCAACAAGGGAGTCAAGAGCCGAAAGAGGTCTTATCATCCCGGTCGCAGAGTCCCGTATATGACACGGACCTGAGACATACAGAGTAACGGTGTCATTGGGTCCATGGATGTGATGTATCAACAACGCCAAAGAGATCTCCGCTGCTGGATCGATCCAATTCTCCCAGTCAGGTATGATTCCAAATTTCCGATATATCTTCGTGCTCTTTGCACTGCAGTATCCCTTGCTTCTTTCGCCAGCAATACTCCGTAGTTCAGGTGCTCTGTAGTCTGTCAAAGCTGCATGGCGCCTGCAGATACTAGATAGAAAGGATACTGAGGAGGAGTGGTCGGTGGCTTAGGTGAAACGACGGATTTGTCAGGATTCGGTAGATCTTCTATTTATATTTTTATGACACAAGACTGTGGTTCTGGCTTCTGTGCTCTGTGAGATATTTCTGTACCTGGTCTTATTGCCTGGACTCAGCACTGCCACCCCTTGGGGCATGTTGCAAACAGTAGATTCAGCTGTATTCGAAATTCACAATTCAACTTTCAACAATCGACCAAGTGGGTGAGTTGATCTACGCCTGTTCGCATTTCGGTACGTGCCAACAGATCTCGATGCCGGGGTACGACAATCATTCGCATCTCATCAGTGGACTTTTAGTGACGTCCATTCTCCCTTCCTAGCATAAAGTTAATCTGGTCCATGTGATTCTGTATGAGGAGTGGGCTCAGTTGACCGTTTCCCCTATTCATCGTCTTTCGGTGGAGAGTTCTTCACCTTGGTTCGGAAAAAAGACTAGCGCCTTTAGAATAAGTCCTGGCCAGCACGAACACTGTCGGCGTGTTGCTGAGGTATCGGAGCTTCTCTGACTCGAATTGAGAAGCCAGTGATGCACATCTTGCCCTTATGGGCGATAGGTCTAGTTAACGACCTCTTCACTTCTTTGGGACTCTTCCAATGGACCTGTCGACTATTGACGGCGATCCGTCATGTCATGCATTGCAACGATTGTATGTCGATCGTTGGACAGAAAACAAGGCGCACATGCCCAACAATCAAACCGGACTTCATCTTACTGGTTTGTGGAAAAAGGATCTTGTGAAGTTCTGTTAGTGTCTGAACTCTGAAGCAGCTCGATTACCGGAGAAGGAAATCAGTTTAGACTGCGTATGTTTTACTACCTGAGGACTTGCAGTATTCTACCTGGCAGAGTTTCCTCTATTCTGGATCGAGCATAGAGCAGGGACGTCTTCCAATCAGCAGCACTTGGCCCCTGGCTACTCAGCCTGGAGGCAAGCCTGCCTCATGCCAGAGTGAGGTCTTGGTGAGCGGGAGGGTGATCGGCGTCGATTCCAACTTCAATCAGGAAATTCAGGACTGAGGCAAGCCGAATAATAGTTCAAGCCATGAACCAGTTCCTGGCACGGAGTAGCTCCATAATTAATATCTAGCACTAATATTATTAGGCCCATCGATCGAGTTGGTGGCAGAACCAGTGGAGGATGAAGTCCCAAGCGGGTGGTTTTACCCCTTAAACTCTCATGTCAGTGTCCACCCTGTTTCGCGGAATTACTGGTACAGCCAATGACTATTATTACTGCACTGTGCAGTTTCGTCATGTTTATCGTCCCGAATCGCCGAGTTGATATCATACAAAGAGAAGGTACATCGAGAAAAGTCACGATCGTAGAGAGATGCCATAAATTCGCAGACAAGAGACTGCATATCTTGAAGCAGTCCGCGTTGAAAAGCACGTTCCGCATCAAAACCGCCCAATACGTCTCATTGTCTCCCGATTCTGAAGGACGATCACGAATCCATTCTCCGACTATTGAAATCTTAGAAAATCTCCTGGAAACTAGAGAAGTATGCGGAGGGAAAGTAATAAGCTATCTTTCCTCACTTCTCACATTGATCATCAAACCCTGGTTGAGGTTGAGACCAATACTGTAGGACTTATAATAATAACAGAACCCCTGGGAATCCCAACATACTGTACTCGACACGGAGTAACCTATCCCTAGTCTTAAGGTAGACATTGTTATTATTTCATCTCTGAACGCGGTCCTGGTTCTTCGTACAATTGTTCTGAAATAATCAATGATATCTAGCCGCTAATCTCGAGGCACTAACTTCTAAGAGACTTAAGTGGATTTATTTCAATTAGTTGAACCATGGAGTCCATCCGTCCATCGACGGATCGCCGCCGCGTGCCTGTCGATGATTTCCTTTCCTGTACTTGCTAGCTGACGGTATCCCCATTACACGGCCTCTACCAAGGCTCACACAAGTCTCGTTTCGACCAAACGTGCCGTCTTCTGTGCATTGTTATTTGATGCTGGTCAGAACCAGCCCGAGGTGATAGTGCAATCCAGTTATCACACAGGTACTTAGCGCTTGGGCGGTGTTGCTCACCATTGACGTCCCACAGTCCACACAGCCCACTTTTACTATGACAAATTAAACTCGTGCGATACTTTTGGCGGATCTCCCTCGACTCCTTTCTCCATCGAGTATCGGATGTGGATTAGCCAATGCAATTAAGATGTTGGCGCTCGAACAACCTTTTTCCTTCCCATACGTAACCCCTTAGCTGGAAGTGGAAGTCCCTCAGGTACTCCCCTCTTCGTCCCCAGATACCAGACGATCAACCAATAGCCCCAACCGAATATCTAGGCTCGCACGGCCAGAAATTGGTGTCTCAATTGACTCCCTGTTCACTTGTTCTTGTGCATCATTGAAAAGCATAAGGGTGACCTCTCGAAGGATGTTCCTGCTACGAAGCTGAACTCTGATTCCTTTTCGAAGATCTACTACCCATACTTTACTTCTACTCCCTCTTTATCCTAAATATCCTTTAGAGATTGCTTAACCACCCGAAACCAGACGATTCTCGACAAGGCCGTCCTTGGAAAGCAGAAGAGCAGCATCTCCGGAACGCCTTTGCGATAACAGCAGCCGACGAGGACGACGTGCCAGATTTGAATTGCGACGTTTCGATATTGCACCTTGGCTTCAGTTCCCGACTCAAATTCCCTTCACGAAACTATAACATCTGCTGGCGTGGCCCAGCAAACTGAATTGCGTCATGTCTCAGCCGTCATTGACAATTCCGCTGAGGTCGTCGAGTATGAATGCTCAGACCACAGGAATGCGAACGAGCAGCAGGAGTCAGGAGAACCTGAGATGCGAGAAATCATCGAAAGCCCACAAGATCTTGGGAACGACAGACGCCTCATTCCAGGAACATAAGCAAGATGACACAAGGAGAAATGTCCGGGCCAGTTTCATGAGAACATCAGAAAACAAATCGACAAAAAGCGGCACATTCGTCCCTTTTCCGTCGGCCAATCTTGACACAACCCTACCACCCCAGCACCTTCGCGTCAGAGCATCGTCCCCGCTTTTGGGACAAGAGTATCTGTCGCAAGATGTTAGTAGTCCTCCTCTTCCGAAATCATCGAAGAAAATCCATCAGTTCGGGTCATCGTCGACTCTTTTCTCCTATTTCAGTTCGAGAGAACCCACCGTTGAGCAGTGTTCGTCACATTCGAGCACCGGGGCAGCAGCAAGGAGTCGCGAGTCGCAACAGGGTGGTGCCAGTCCGGGCCGAGGATCAAATTTAGATTCGAGAATGAGCCTAAGACAAGCCAAAACATCCGTCAAGGAATCAAAGCGGAAAATGCGGCCACCAAGGATTGATCTTTCTCTATTGTTTCCCAAACCGCGAGAGACTGCCGCGCCTCTTTTGTCCCCGCAGCGCCTGACGAGCTCTCCGTCTCCAATCTCGGTGACTTCTGAATATCCTTCCACTCAAATGAAGGGACCAGAACCGCCTACGGTTGCGAAGCGACCCACGAAAACACCACCCACACGAGCGCCTGCCGGTCAGCTAGATACCCTTCAGGAGAACGATAGCGCAAAAATAACCTCAGCAGTTCGTGAGTCAAAGAATATGGATTACTTGGGCGCGTCCTTTGAACGAACGGTGAGGACTAGCGAATTCGATATGGCCCTCGACAAATATTATGACGCCAAAAGTCTCAAGTCAATCAAATCAGCGCAATCCGGACCATCTGTCTTGAGTTCACAAAGCCCAAGAAATACGCGAGCCCCTGGTCCCAAATCCACAGAGAAAGCATTGCGGAAGATGTCGTCCAGTGGCTCTGTTGGAGGCTGGAGTAAAGAAACATACTTGTCTCCAAAAACTTGCACCTTTCCAAGGCCAAACCGCAAATCAGACTCGTCAAACACACGCAAGTCTGCCACGCGGGAAGACTCGGCCGTCGACAAGGGATTAATGTCAAAGAAAAGCAGCAAGAGCACATTAAGGAATGTCGATTTAAACAACTCCAGTGTTCTGTGCCTTTCATCCTCGGAAGATGAAAGCGATGGAGATGAGGCGCCAAGCAAGGACCTAGGCGAACCTCGCAATCTTACAGCAAGAGACAGCATCGTCACATTTGAAGATGAGTTTGACGCAGAGATCTGTATGGCCTCCGCCGCGCAAGCAACACGGGCCTCGACATTACGACGGGTGGACGTATCGAAGATGTCCAGCAAGGGTAGCTCACAGATCCTCCCGAACAACTCATCTATCCATCGAAACCCATCAATGTCTTCAGCGGGCCAATTATCTTCTGCGACAAAGAAAAGCCGATCTCGTCGGTCAAGCGGCATACCTACCATCTCCGAGCCTGATAATGATGATATCTTCAGTCAATTCAGGAATCCGCCCCTATCTCAAAAAGAACGCGATAGGAGAAGTCGAGTGATGGCAGTGACAAGACAGGAAGAACATCTTCTGGAGGCGATGAGACAGCGGAAAGGGAAGATCACACCGAGTATATTTCAGCAGGCACAGTATAACACCAGCCTCGAGCCTGACCAGGGTTCAATGCTTTCCTCGCCTTCCCGTGACTCTTTCTACGGCTCGCACACCTTCTTGCGATTAAGTCCCGGGCTGCCACCTCAGCGTCCGTCACGGGCAGATCAAGGTGCAACCTACCATGACAAGGACGGTACTATTTCTCAGGGCGCTGCTTCTGATGCTGAACAGAAAACGATCAACTCAGGTCGCGCAAGCGTGGCGTACTCCGAAAGCCTACCATCTCCCGCTACCAGCGGGGCATCACCGCTGACCCCGACACTGCCTATACACCGATTCTCACCCCTTCCATCACAGAAACCGCCCCCACGTCGTCCTCCTCCCGCCGTGCCTCAGGCTCAGAGAAGGCACTCCAGAAGACGCACAGATAGCAGCGAGGCGATTGCCTTAGACGCAGCTGAAGAGTCGGGAGAGGGAAATGAGTTTCCAATTTGGGCACTTGACTGGAACCAAGCCAGTCGCAGTTTAGCTGCTGTACACTAGATAGGTGGTGATATTGACCTATCACTATCGTTGATTTTCTTTCCCTTATCTATAATCTCGCACATCTGGAGCTGCCACTCACTTATGATCTCTCCTTACTTTGTTCTTGTTTATAACATGTTCTTCATTCCCTCCACATCAAGCGGATCATATCTTATGTCAGAGCATTGTCAATGCTCCACCGCGAGTTTGCAACATATACCACATGACTTTAGTATATTTCCTTTAAATCTGACGATGTCTTGCATGCAAGGCATACCATTTCATCATTCTACTGCAATGCACTATAAAAGGAAGGCAAATGACAAGTCTGCATCGAAATACGCTGGCTTACTGACTCCCTTATTTCATGGAATCTATATGATCACTCTGTCTACAAAGCCAATTGTATATCATCCAGGGCTTCAACTACAAGCAAATGCATTCACTGTTGGGGAACTCGTTCTAGTATGCAAATTAATCAGGGACAGTGTAGTGTGTAGGACTTCTGTTTGTTTTAAGGATAATGTCACCAAGCCCACGATTCAGGCTGTGTGCTGCTGGGTGATGTGGCTTGCCAACTTGCAGCGAAAGAGCGCCTTGGATCCCCAGCAAGTCAGGCTAAACTGGAGGCGAGGATGATCGTCCCATTGTGAGACGAGACTGGGCTCTGACGTCAGACCCTGGAGCTGGACTTGATCTAGGCCAAGCCAAAGTATTACGGAGGAACAAGTTAACAGGTAACAACTAGATAATATCAATGGCAAAGATTACTTTTCATGTAGTGGATCAAGGACGTCAATCGATGCATTGGCCTATTTTTCCTTCGTTGGCTCGCCTAAAAACTGGCGAGCTGGTGGACTGCGGATCATCAGTAGTTGTCACTGGTCGATTGGCGGACAAGGGGGAGTCAAGAGACTCAAGACTCAAAGCGAGAACTAGAATCAGTATTATTACCCTACCTAGACTTAGACCCTCTCCGTGGCCCACACACCGCCCCCAGCTGGTAATTGTGGTACCCCAGAATCCACACAGAATCACTGAGCGCTCTCCTGGTGGATTGCCTGTCCGTATCTTGGAAGGTGCTCGTCGCAGGGGAGGTCTCTATTTATGCTGACAACCGCTTGCTGGCCAGGCCATTTTCATTCTTGGTCTTCAGGTATTATCTAGGCTATCTGACGTCGTCGTTATTTCCATCCGACCGCCCTGTGCGAAATCACCCCTGGTTTTCGTCTAAATACGCGCTCCGAGGGGCTTTTGTCTACCTTACGCTGAGGACAAACGCCGCTTTTTGTCTTCTCAGCGGCAGTTTGCTGGCGGACTGCATGGCCTAGTGTGAAGAACCGTGAAAGATTTACCCTTCCCTGTCCATCGGCACGCGCACAACTTATTTCTCGACCCTCGGCATTTTCTTAACGACCCTTTCTTCCGAATCAGAATCACAGGCTAATATCACCAACAACTTGCATCTTCCAGTGGGTTGTGTTGCGGACACTTTTCAGGCGCTGGCACCTACAGTAGTGTTGTCACAATGGGGGAACACACTCGGGGCCAGTCTTCAGGTCTGGGAGGCGTTTTGAGACGTTCCTCTTGGATACTGGTTAGTCTTTCCTGAGGCATTTTGGTTGGACTGCGTGTTTCTTTTTGAACTGCGCCGAGTCAGAACTTGGGGATTTAAGTTTCTATTTACTGACCTCCTTTGTAGCTGACGGTTCAATATACGGCGTTCGTACTGGTAAGTTTTTCTTCGACTTTGAGCAAGAGTGACACTCAGCTAAATCCCATTCTATAACAGCTTTTGCATTATTCCCGAGTCATGCCTCCCACTGGAGGTAAACGATACCTCACGTCTACCGCAGTCTTTCTCAACGAGGTCACCAAGCTTGCTATTTCCTTGACGGTGGCCCTCTACGAAGTTTCGAGATCAGCTCCCCCATCGATGCCTGCGACGTCGCTCCTCTCTTCGTTGACCAGTACTGTGTTCTCCGGTGACAGTTGGAAACTTGCCATTCCTGCCAGCTTATACACACTCGCGAACTCTTTGCAATACATTGCACTTTCCAACTTGCGGGCCGCGAACTTCCAGGTGACGTACCAGTTGAAGCTCCTCGTCGGCTCCATTTTTAGCCTTCTTCTCCTGAAGAGAGCTATACCGTTGCGTAAATGGGGTTTCCTGATTCTTCTTCTCGTCGGCGTCTATCTTGTGCAAATGCCAGATGGAACAACCGATGAAATCTCACTGGATCACGAGGCCGTGCATCACTCTTTCCCCCGCTCATTCGAAGAATGGAAAGCCGTTAGAGGGAAACGCGCCAATTTGCACAAGCGTTCAGCAACCTACGAGGGCATTGAAGAGGACTTATTGACCGCCCTGCCCCGATTGAACAGCACAGTTGGTCTGCTGGCCACGATTGGGGCCTGCGTCGCTTCGGGGCTCGCCGGTGTGTACTTTGAGAAAGTACTAAAAGACAGCGTAAAGACCACCTCTCTGTGGGTGCGTAATGTGCAGTTGTCCGTGTATTCTTTGTTCCCGGCCCTCTTCATCGGTGTCGTCTTCCTCGACGGGGAAAAGGTCGCCGCAAACGGCTTCTTTGCGGGCTATAATTGGGTTGTTTGGTCGACTATCGTGGTCCAGGCTATTGGGGGCATCACGACCTCTTTCTGTATCAGCCACGCGTACAAGGACGCAAGAAACATGGCCACTGCTATTAGCATTGTCCTCAGCACTTTGGGGAGTGTTTGGTTGTTTGGTTTTGAACTCACAGGGAACGTATGTATCTCACTCGATCACGAACTTCTGCGCATGGTTACTGACGTCTGACTCCTTCTTCAGTTCATTCTTGGGACTTTCGCGGTGCTTGTGGCCACATTCCTCTATGAGGATTCCAGCTTAGATTCCAGTCCTACTAAAGCTCACGGCATCCGTCCACCGCCAATTCGGATCGAGCGGTTTGAGAAGGAAGCCAAGAGTGATGAGACTTCACCTGTCGCAGGTCCGCAGAACGAATTCTCGATAAAACTCCCGAGCACCCCATTCCTGTCTCAAGCTGGGTTGTCCACCTCCAGACCCACGTCGCCAGGCGTTGCTAGAATCAGCTCTGGCCGCACTGCAAGCGGCGGCTATTTCGATAAGCAGTCACGGGACGAGTGAGCCTATCGACTTCGAAGCAAAACCCGCATTCACCTTGTCAATATTTAGCGTTGCTCCGGTATCCGTGATATCGAGAAGTAAATAAGAATGTCCGACTCCGAGTCATTGCATTTCTTTTGGAAGGAAGCGTAGCAAGTCCTTGTACTCTATACCTTTTGTGACCATGGTTTGATTTTGGTTGTTTAGTGATGGTTATTATATCTTCATATAGCATGAGTCATGGGAGATGTCCTGATGTGTATGAGTGTATAAGGTTGAATGAATGGATATGAACGAGCTTGACGTCGAGCTTCTCGTCCCAAGGATATTTAACAGCACTTGATTCAATGATTGTCTTGTTAACTCTGCATCGAGTTCACCCACGTGCTCTTCTCGCCTGGGGCATCTATACCCACCCGCCTGGCCCCCTCATTTCGGGGCTTGCTGCTGTTCCACTGAGTCTCTTGCACTCATCTTCTCCGTTTAAAGCTTCTTAAAGCTGGACACTGTCTGTCCCTTGTCGATCATCATGGGGCGCAAGTCTCACCAGCCCTTCTCAATAACACGACATAGTGCTTCCAACCAAAGGCCGATGGGTGCAAGGCGGCCCCAACCTGGATTGTCTACATCAAAAGCAATTATCGATCAAAGACTTATCGAAGGCGCTCAGATCTCCCAACCTTGGAACAGACCTCGAGGTCATGAATCTGAGAATGTCGACCCCTGTAGCCAGCTTGTTGGTCCGGATTTGCAGTCCTTCCGTAGCGATGATCATCAACTGGACGCCTTTGGTGAGTAATTTTGACTGCGACGAGTTGATACATTGGTGTCGTGGATTGAGCTGACTGAAAGATTCCAGACCTCGAACTGCTTGCTCAGTCGGATGAAAGCAACCGAAATCCATTGAGGCAGCCGGTTAACATGAACTATCCATCGGTGCAACAGAGAAATTATGGTGAGAAGCACGTATCTCGATTTTTCCAGAGTACGCTCATGCCTCGCCTACCCTGTATAAAAAGCTAATGAACGCAGCGAGCTCCCACATAACGCCGCTCCGAAACTTGGATTCTAGCTCATCGGATCTAGGTCTGGGGTCACCTTCTAGTCCGCTCAGTCGATTGCAGCCGGGAAAGACGATTGTAATTCATCGGGAGCGAGAGTATCAAGCGAAGGGGCCTTCGAGACAGTACCACGAAGACCAATTACCGCATGAGGAAGAATCGCCATCGCATGGAAGTTCTACAATATTGATAAGTACAGCGCAATGTCAAAAGAGCCCCTTCGAAAATATCCCCATGTCAGTTAGAGGAATTGTCCTTGTCTCAATACATGAGCTTCCGGATAGCTACCGGTCCATCTTTCATTTCCCGGTGTTCAATGCTGTACAGTCGAAATGTTTCCAGCGAGTCTACAAGACCGACGACAATATTGTGCTGGCAGCTCCTACTGGAAGTGGTAAGACGGTCATCATGGAATTGGCGATCTGTCGCCTGCTCAGCACCTTGAAAGATGAGCGCTTCAAGGTCGTCTATCAGGCACCGACCAAATCTCTGTGCTCCGAGCGGTTTCGGGACTGGAACAGGAAGTTCATGTCCTTGGGACTCCAGTGTGCGGAGCTAACTGGCGATACCGACCATACGCAGCTCAGGAGTGTCCAGAACAGTCAGATCATCGTTACTACACCCGAGAAATGGGACAGCATGACTCGGAAGTGGAAAGATCATGCGGGCCTGATGCAATTGGTCAAGCTCTTCCTGATCGACGAGGTTCACATTCTCAAGGAGGCTCGTGGTGCGACGCTGGAAGCGGTTGTGTCAAGAATGAAGACATTCGGGTCCAATGTTCGCTTCGTCGCTCTGAGTGCTACGGTCCCAAACTCGGGGGATATTGCGAGCTGGCTCGGGAAAGACGCAACGAACCAACATGTACCTGCGCACCGAGAGCACTTTGGGGAGGATTTTCGTCCCGTCAAGCTCCAGAAGTTTGTGTACGGTTATCAGTCGCATAGCAATGATTTTGCCTTCGACAAGTTATGCAGTTCGAAGTAAGCTTGCAAATTTTGTCCTGTCGCGGAGATACTGAAGTCTATAGGCTCCCCGATATTTTAGGTAGCCATTCATGTAGGAAGCCAATCATGATTTTCTGTTGTACCAGGAATTCATGCATCGCTACCGCAAAAGAGCTTGCTCGTCTATGGTCCATGACCAACCCTCCGGCAAGGTTATGGAAAGTATCTGGCAAGCATCTCGAAGCCCACAATGCAGACCTCAGAAGTATGCACTGATCTCCAATTCGTAGATATAGAGCTAACTGGAGGCACAGCCACGCTTATGGCAGGAGTTGCATTTCATCATGCCGGTCTTGACCCTGCTGATCGCCACACCGTTGAGTCTGGGTACCTGCAGGCACATATCGCCGTCATTTGCTGTACCTCAACCCTGGCAGTGGGAGTCAATCTCCCATGCCACCTTGTTATTATCAAAGGTACAGTAGGTTGGCAGGATGGCGGCTGCAAGGAATACTCCGATCTCGAGATGATGCAGATGCTCGGTCGAGCTGGTCGACCTCAATTCGACGATAGCGCTATTGCAGTGATCATGACGAGAAAGGAACGAGTTCAACATTATGAGAAACTTGTATCCGGGTCTGAGACCCTCGAGAGTTGTTTGCATCTCAACCTGATCGATCACTTGAACGCTGAGATTGGACTAGGGGCTGTCACTGATGTCGATTCCGCGGTCAGATGGCTTGCGGGTACCTTCCTGTTTGTCAGGCTGAGAAGAAATCCAAAGCATTATCACCTCAAAGAAGGGGCCACAAAGGATGATGAAGACGAAATGCTTAGGCAGATCTGCGAGAAAGATATCAAACTTTTGCAAGAGACTGGACTAATTGCTTCTGACCGTCTCAAGTCCACGCCCTTCGGAGATGCCATGGCTCGGTACTATGTACGGTTCGATACCATGAAGACTTTACTCGCGCTGAAACCTCACGCAACTATATCTCAAGTGGTAGGTCAGCCCGTCCCTCTGTTTGAAGATAGGAAACACTCTGACGGTTTTATTCAGCTTGCTGCAATTGCGGAAGCAGAAGAATTCCGCGAGATACGGCTCAAGGCAGGCGAGAAGTCGCTGTATAAAGAACTGAACCGTGTCAATGGTATAAGGTTCCCGGTGAAAGTTGACATAGCGCTCCCAGCTCATAAGATCCTGTTGCTCATCCAGTCAGAGCTCGGTGGGGTCGAGTATCCGGACGGCGAGCAATATCAGAAACACAAGTTTGCTTTTCAACAGGACAAGAATTTCGTGTTCTCTCATATTAATAGACTCATTCGATGCTTGATAGATTGCCAAATCTCCCTTGAAGACTCAATCGCCGCCAGAAATGCCCTCGAGCTCGCAAGAAGCTTTGGGGCCAAGGTTTGGGATAACTGTCCTCTGCAGATGAAGCAAATCGACCAAGTCGGTATCGTGGCAGTGAGAAAACTTGCGGCAGCTGGGATTACCAGTATTGATGCCCTGGAAGCTATAGAGCCCCATCGCATTGATATGATCATGAGTAGGAATCCGCCGTTCGGGATGAAACTACTTGCCCGTGTTGCCGAATTTCCTAAACTTAGAGTGAATGTCAAGTTGGTAGGAAAGGTACGTTGCTCTGATCCCTTGTCGAGATGGTCCCATTGATGGCTTATTAGGAAATCAAACCCGGAAAACCTGTAAGAATACGATTCAAGGCCGAGATTGCGTTCATGAATGAGAAAACTCCGACGTTCTTCCAACGGCGACCTGTATATGTCTGCTTCTTAGCAGAGACCTCCGACGGCCATCTGATAGATTTCCGGCGTATCAGGTATGACTGGTCGGCCCTCACAATCACTCTGCCGAGCTGACGACCTTATAGTGCAAATAAACTTCGGCAGAGTCAGGAAATACCCCTAGATGCAGAACTGAAGAGCCCAGGGCTGCATATAACGTGCTATGCGATGTGTGACGAGATCGGTATGACAGACCTCTAGCTTTAACCGTGCCTCTTGCCGTTTCACTGAACTCCATAGCCGGTACTCTGATGTCTGCGGAGCTGAAACCTGAGCTGCCAAATGTCTTTTTCCCATCTCGCCCAAGGGAAAGCCAAGCAGTGGAGTCAATGCAGGGGCCTAGGATGAGTGTCCCAAGTCGGGATGCTGACGACACTCCAATCAACGCAAATGATCGCAGAGCGGATGATAGTATCGAGAATGATGATAATGATGATTGGCTTTTTGATGACTTGATGGAGACAGGTATGCCCCCGCCCAGCCTGTCGTAGACACAGACTAAAGGATATCGAGCAGACGAGGCAAGCAGCTGGGCTGCCGTCAACCAGTCAACCGGCACACCCCGCAGTCGGATTGAGGAGAAAGGCTCGAAAGAATGCAACTCTGTGAATCCAACTACTGAAAATGAAAAAGAGCCGTCTCGACTAGTCAACGGCAGATATGCGTGTAACCACAGGTGCAGGGACAAGACAACGTAGGTACCAGCCGATTGTAATGCATACCAAACGGAGCTGAACCATGGATAGATGCAAGCATCTCTGCTGCCGAGAAGGCCTCGAGAAGCCTCACAAAGCCGCCCGGAAGCAGTCTGCTAACGGCAATCCGCAGAAGAGTGGACTTAACCAGCTGACACTCTCAGCCAGCATTCCTAGAACAAAGGCTGGAAGGACCTCGACGATTGAGGCTCGGGATAAGGGAAGTGGCAAGACACGGACAAAGGATGTGGAATCCACGAGCATTGACTTAGACATCACTGATAGTGGAGCCTTCGTCAATCTCGCCTCCACGAGTCATGTCTCCAAACCTCAGTATTTCTCAAGTGACTATGGTGATGATAGCTTTGACGACTTGCCCTCGCCATCAAAGCTGCTGGTCGGTTGTAGTACGGGCATAACGACTCAAGTAAACGAGAAGACCGAAACCTTTGCCAGCAAATGCGATGATATAACCGAGGCGGATGATACCTGGACTGACGTCGACGATTTGTTCACGTATCCAGTTCAACCTTCATCCATCGACTCGCCAGAACAAGTCAAAATCTACACTGCCACATCAGCCACGGGGAAGCAGGATCAGACATTAGTGCCACCAGATAATTCCGCTTTTGAACGAAATGCAGTGTCCAATGGGAACGATATTCCAAGGACTTCTGGGACCAACGTCGACAAAGCACTCGACCCATCTCGAGTCTCAGATGAGCACAGCGGACGAAAGAGGAACCTCTCATGGCAATGTGAAGGAGTCCTCTCTGACGAAAGAATGGCGAAGAGAACGAAGCACGACGAGCCTTATCAGATTCCTCGCGGGCAAGTTGCAACCGCTATAAAGACAAGCCGCAGCGTTCAGGGACCCGCGAACCTACCAGAGGTGCCAAAGGACTGGGATGACATCGACCCTGCTTTGCTGGATGAATTCAAAGACATTGTCAATTTTTTCTAGACGGTAATACAAAGGAGCTGGCGAATGCCGCACAAGGGTGGGAGGAAAGATATATGGAATATGAGACTGGTGAGATTTGATTTGTGTTGTTTGTCGAAGTTCAAGGGTAAGTTACGAGAATGGACTCGCATATCTGTATACCATACATATATGAGACTGTAGCAGATCCATCATGTCTTTATTAGATATTTTAACAAAGGATTCAAAGGGGCTTCGTTCTATCTACTATTATCCTGCTTCAGGCCTTTCACTGCCTACGATCCTTGTAGAGAAGCCCAGCGAAAGCAACAGACAGTAGAAAGAAAGCACAACAGTGAATGGTCTCGCTAGAAGGCATGGCAACCTCCGTGAATCTCAACGCCTAGCGCGTCCTGGAGACAGGACATCCCACCAGATGACTCGAGATGTAAACATTCAGAGAGAAAACAACCTACCTATGTCTTTTCTCTCTCTCATTCTCCTTTGTCTGTCATCTCACACAACCACCTTCTCTGAATCCATCAAAGAAGACAAGATAGGTATACAAGCCTCCCATTTCCAAGAGGGGCCCTGTTATCATCTTATGGTGCGTTATTCACATCGCAGTCTCTGATCTCGCGAGTTAACTGCTGCCTCTTACCTCTCTAGACATCTTTCTCGCGAGATTCCCTGAGCGTGTTGGCATTGCACTTCAACCATCTTAATACTCCCTGACCACCAAGGTAAGTGCAGTTCTTCTATACCTATCTGCATGCACATCAATCGCGTCTTGGGCTTCTGGGAGTCCCTCACAGTGCCTAACTGTCGAGCTTCGACACCTTCTTAACTCGAGGACCAAGGCTGATGCTTGCTTCTGAACAGGACAAACGTCGATCTGACGACTGCCCAAGATGGGTAAGTTGAACTACTCAGCTGTAAGTTTGTCCCTTTCCAAGATGACCTTCGCTATGATGCGGACTAACGCCGCACCGACAGAGGAAAATCACGGGCCTTAAGGCCGGACAGGTTGTGTCCAAGGATTTGGTGAGACCCTCCCGTAACCTGGATATCCAGAGGCACATACTGACACTTGCCGCCTCGCAGAAAAAGAGAATCACACCAGGTGTTGGCGCGAAAGCTGCGGCAAGAGATCCGAATGTGGAAATCGATGTTTCGGGCAAGGAACTCACTGACGAGGGCTTTGCCGAATTCATTGATGACCTGATCGCTTGCATGAAGTACCGCGACGAGGAGCACCCCGAGGGCTCTGCCAAGGTGATCGAGTTGCATTTACAGGGCAACCAGCTCACGGTGGTGTCGCTTCGGAAGCTATCTGCAGTGATCAAGCTTAGTATTGCCGATCTTCGAGAATTGGACATCTCCCACAACAACCTTGTGGTTTGCACCCCCAAAGAGCAGGAGATATGGTACGACTTTCTTGACTCGTTCAAAAACTGTTTCTTGCTGAAGAAGTTCGATCTTGGAAATAATCCACTTGGACCGAAGGGCATTGAGGTACTCGCGCGTGTTTACATGCAGAGCGACCTGGACTTTCTGGAAGCTGATGCCGATGCCGTCGTTGGGATGAGCGGCGAGGCAGACAACGAAGGTGACGCCATCGCAGACGAGCGGGAGAACCTCAAGATCAACGGCAAGGAAAACGAAGCTACCAAGAAGGCGTCTTCGAAGCAATCGCCCAAGAAGAGCAAGGTTGCACAGCAGAATGGTAAGTCAAGCATTCAGTCGTCTTAAGTAGCTTACACTGATAATATGCTCTTTTAGGTTCTTCTCACGCTACTTGCGCCACGAAGAAGCTGACCTATGCAGAGCTGAAGCGATATGCTTGTACTCGAGGCCTGCGCTCGGTCCCGTTCCTTATCATTTCCAACACCGACTTGACCAGCAGTTGCGCCGTGCACCTGTCAAGCATGTTGAGCATGCACCGCAGTCCCGAGCAGCTCTTGGCTTTTCTACCCAGTGGCAAAGGTCCCATCCTGCCAGAAGCAGCAGAGCAATGCAAGGGCATCATATGGCTCCCGAATGACGGCCTTGGTCCGAATGAATGCAAGCTCCTCGACAAAGCCGAGTTGGTGCGCGAGTACAAGTCTGACTATGACACCGCAAACGACGAGCTTAGTGAGGACGATGACCAGAATGCGGCACAGCGCAAGCTGCAGAAGAAGCTGGACATCGAGCACGCCAGACTCGCCAAGAGAGTGTGTATTGAGGCTTTAAAGAAAGAGGGAGTACACAGCAACGATATCTGGAGAGTCGCGTTGAAGATGATGACTGTCTCCCGCGCTTTGCTTTTAAACGACAAAGATCGCGCCGTCGAAGCTCCCTCTGAGGAGGAGCCCTCAGGCGTAGAGGAGACTGACGAGAGGGTCGAAGAAGAAGAAGAAGAACAAACCGTGGAGCACAGTCCAGAATACGTCTTTGATGAATATGAACTCTTCGAACCTACCGCTGTCGGACCCTTTCATCCCGGTGCTAAGCACTTTGAGGTCAACTTTCCCTCTTTGCAGCAAGTTCAGCAGGCTCAGCAAACCAACGGCCACGACAAAGACGTCCAGTCTCAAGAGACAAAGGAATCCGCGCCGCCGAGCCAGCCAACCCATTCAGGAAAGGGTAAAAGCCATCCTAGTTCGGTCGCTCGCAGCTCTCGTAAGCGAGAATGGCGTTTCGGACTGCCTTTTGCATTCTGGCGTCAGATTATCGCGGATGCTGTCGGCGCTGACGGTATTCTCAGCCATCAGCAGCAAGTCCGCATCATGACTTACGCTGCTGATTGGAATGCTGTGAGCTATGAGCTGACCATCAAAGGAGCAGAAGATCACCAGCAGATTTGGAAGTTCCTTGAGACTGTCAAGTGCGTCACCTACAGCTCTTTGACTTGACGAGCGTGATGTGTCAGGCGCCCTTGAATACCAAGAGAACCGTTCACATCTAAATAAAGCGACGCCTTTCTTTCAAGATATGGAGTCACTTGTCAAATGAAGGAGAAAATCACAGAAAAGACAAAAAAAATCCAACTTCTGGGCTTTATCGGGTTTCATGTTGCAATGATGAATTTCGGGTTTAGCTGGACTTTTCAGGCTTCAGGAAAGCAGGACGAAATAAGTTCTTGTATGTAGAGACTGATGGAATTCACTGAACATCCCGATACACTGATATTTTATCTCTGTAGTCGATATAATTCAAAGATTCATCAATCGTAGGTAGGGACGAGTAGAAGGAGATGGATGGATCCATTGCTATCGGTGGTAGGCACGTGAAGATACTCCTGGTATCTTGATCTCCCCGGACCACGGATCGGACAGCAATTGAGTTACTCGGACCAGAAGCAATAGAAAAGGCGAATTCAACAAATTCTCCCCTGTCTGCATTCTGTGCATCGCATTCGACCAATATGATGAAAAACAGGAGAACAAACACCCAACCGCTAGAAGACGCATCTACGGCGCCCGCGACCTTCAATGATGGTCTTCCTTTACCGAAATTAATCGTCTTCGACCTAGACTATACATTGTGGCCGTTCTGGGTTGATACGCACGTCAGCGCACCCATCAAGCCTCGCGATAACAATTCGCGCTGCGTTGACAAGTATGTACCTGAAACAGCATTGACGTCCATCTCCATATTTTCGTACTAACTCGGAAACCCCGCCACAGATGGAACGAATCATTCGCATTCTACCCAGCCGTCTCTTCAATTGTCTACTCCTGCAAGACTCGCTCGATTCCCCTTGCGATAGCTTCTCGCACGCATGCTCCTGACTTAGCTCGCGATATGCTCAAGGCGCTTCATATTATCCCGACATTCTCGGACAATCCTGCGGCGAAAACGAAGTCTGTTCGTGCCCTGGACTACTTTGACTATGTCCAAATCTTCCCCGCCACTAAAACACAACACTTTGCGAAAATCCAGCAAGCCAGCGGGATCACTTACGAGGATATGCTGTTCTTTGACGATGAGGCACGCAACAGGAACGTCGAAACGGAATTAGGGGTCACCTTCTGCTTGGTTAGAGATGGTATGACCAAGGAGGAGGTGGATCGCGGTGTCTGGGCTTGGAGAAAGAGAAACGGAATCAAGCCAGGGGCACAGAAGCAGGGTCACGAAGACGCTTAGGTAAATAAGACGGTATGAAACATTCTGTATATATATGGCTTTTATGCTGGGGATGGCGTTGGGTTTGGATGCATTGCATGACACCGCTAGAATTTAGCTTCAAGATACCCAGAGGGGACAAGATCGCATACTAGGTCAACCATTTATTTTTGGATCCGCTCGTGTCGAGTCGCCTTTATATAAGTAGAACCTTAGATCATCACCAAATAATTCTACCTGTGATAGCTAGAAGGAGACCCATGGCACAACAGCAATAGGGCGGAGAAGACACGGAGATCTCCCAAACTCCGCAAAACCTTCCCGATATCAACTACCATCACATCAATAACCACAGCAAGGAACCCTCTCTACGAAATTCACACGGCACTCCCTGGACCAGACAGTCCTCATGAACAAATGGACCCAAGAACTAGTCAACCAAGATCCGACACGCACCTCAAACCCCAAACCCACACCAACGCGCCTCCCCATCATCATCAACATCTCCATCCCCAACACCCCGAGCCCCCGTCGCCGCCCACAACACAGCTACAGTCGCCGAATCCGTAACATTCCAAGGCATACACCCAATATCCGTCGGCGCAGGGACAGTCATCCATCCGCGCGCACGCATCTACTCCTACGACGGACCCGTCATCATCGGCGAAGGCTGCATAATCAGCGAAAAGAGCACAATCGGCATCCCGCCGAGCACGCCACCTTCTCTCCCTCCCACGCCGAAAGAAGTGGTTACAACACGGATATCGAACGGAGTGACGATCGGCCCGCTCGTGACCGTCTTCCCAGGCGCTCACATCCACTCCTTCGTTACGGTCGAGTCGCTAGCCATCATCAACCGGCGGGTGTCTCTTGGTGCACATTCAAAAGTCTGTTCGGGCTGTGAGATTGCGGCAAATACGGTCATAAGAGACTGGACTGTGGTTTGGGGCTCGGGGGCTGGGTCCTCTCAGCGGCGGAAACGGGCTACGGGGAAGATGAGCTCGTCTGTTGCAGTTGGGCAGGACGTGTCGGCGCTGGACGCCAAGGTGGTTGAAGATGCGCGGTTGATTATATTACAAAAGGAGAGAGAGGTAGTGGCCAGGCTCATTGGGTCATCTGCATCTGCTGGGGGCAGGAGGAAATGATGCTGCTGGTCCTTTGGCTTGGGCATGGCGTTGACTGTCAATTGCTCGAAGGAGAAAGACATATAGAGCGGCTCATTCTGAACAAAACAGTACATTGGACTTGAGCGAAACTACTGCACATACCATGCTATGAGCGCCAAGGGTGCGTTATGATGATATGATCCTGTCTTTATGTTTGTTATATACCCCAGATCATACACATAAGTTGCACATCCACTCTACAGACAATAGTTAATGAGGGGCTAAAGAATTGTGTGATGGAAATATTCTTTGATTACCGTACAGACCCAAAATTAGGCATCATAGACAAAGGAAATGGCTTATTTTCGACTGCCTCATGCCTTGCTGACCCAGAATATAGGCATTGGAATATTCATAAATGCTGTAAACCACAAAATGAGATCCGCGAGTAAAGGTACATGCACGTGAAAAGGAAACAAGAAACACCCGAGTCTATGTCGATAGATGGCTCAAGAGCCCCTGGTATGGCCACCTCCTCTCATTCTCTTCCCTCCACTGGCCCCGGCCTCGTTTCCAGTCTCACCGCCGTCCTCTCTTGCCCGCTTGCTCCCTTGAGGAACGAACTGGCGAGCTTGAACATTGAGTCCGCCGCGCCCTCCTCCAGGACTGGACGGATTTTGCCCTTGAGGCGCATTGCCGGCCGGGACATTCTGATGACCACCTCGGCCAGCTCCTCCACGACCGCCACGGCCACGATGGAGACCAGTGCCACGCTGACTTTGCTGGGCTTGAGCCTGCGGTTGCTGTTGATCAGTAGGCTGTGGGCCGAATGGATTCTGTTGATGAGAGCCGCCACGAGCGCCACCTCGACCACCTCTAGCGACTGGGAGCCCTGACTGGAGCGCCTTCAGAACACCCCCAGCAGGAGGCTTATTAGGTAGCGATGAGGGTTGCTGCTTATTCTGAGATTGGGCGACTGCGTTTGCGGGTTGATTTGGTGCCGGCTTTTGCGCAGGACTGGCTTCTTGTTGCGGCTGCTGTACTTGTGCATCGGCTTGAGGCTGAGCTTCAGAGGGCACTGAGCCGGTGGGAGCAGCGGTCTTTTGCTGAGCAGGAGTGGGAGCGGGAGCGTGAGCAGCAGCTTGTTGGTCTTGGTTTTCGGCTGTTGCAGTAGGTGCCGCGACTGCAGGTGGTGGCACTGTAGCGGCTTGCGCTGGAGCGGGAGCAGCAGTCGGTGCGGCCGGTGCAGATGGTGCAGCGGCTGCTGGCTTAGCTCCTTGTGCCTGAACAGGCGGAGCCTTCGTGGTTTTGGCCACTTCCCATACCTCAGCGACGGGCTTTTGAGGAGTTTCCGCAGCCGCCTTCGCAATGACATCAAGTTTGGCCTGTGCAGTTCTCAACCGAGTATCAAGCATGCTGATACGGACAAGGGTCTTCTTGTCAGATAACTCAACAGCAGATTTGACTTTTTCATCCGTACTCTCCTCATATGCCTTTTTGAGGGCTTCCTTCTCTTCATTAAGCTTCTTCTCCAACTCTGCACATTCTTGCTTAAGCTTTTCTGTTTCTTTCGCGACCTTTGCCCGAATATTGTTGCGGACAATCGTTTGGATAGTTTCGTTCTTCGCAACCAATGCTCTCGCCTGGACATCGGTGAGCTCTGGTAGGTCACCCTCCTGCTGTGAAGGGGTTGCGGGAGTCTGTTCGGGTTTTGAGATAGGCGTTCCAGGCTCTTGCGGTGCAACCTGCTGATTGGCCGACAATCTTTCAACTTCTTGCCGATGAGCCGCTCTCACTTCCGCCATCTTCTTATTGTACATCTCCTTGAGCTTCTCTACTCTTTCATTGGCCTTGGTCTCGTACTCAGCATCCTTGGCAGCCAAGGCAGCATCCTTCTCAGTAAGAGCCGCCTCGAGACGCTGTACCTTCTCCTCTAGCGCCTTCACCCTCTCGTCATCACTTGGCATAGAAGTTTGTGTTGGGAACTGAGACGCAGGCGTCGAGTTGACGCCAGGCGTCTGCTCAACAGTGGGTGCAGTGGGTGCAGCAGGTGCAGGTGCAGCTGGTGCGGATGGACTTTCAGCCATCTTGGTCTTGAGCTCACTCAGTTCGTTCTTGGTTGTGTTCAGCTCCTCCTGGATGACCTCCTTCTCCTGCATCACGGCATTCAGTTCGAGTTGCTTAGCGTTGATGCGGCCAGTGAGTTCCTTAGATCTGGCTTTGAACTGTTCTGTAAGCTTTGTGCGCAGTTCTTGCGTCCTATCCTCAGCATGCTTGAGCTGCTCTGGGAAAGTCGCAGCTTGTGCTTGTAACGTGTCGCGAGCTGAAATAGCCTCGTCTCGTTCCTTCTCCAATGAGGCGAGCTTCTCCTTTAGTCCTTCCATCTCGGCCGGGTCAACGCGGTCGTATTTCTGCAGGATGTTCTGTGTACGTTGTTGCCAGCGGTCCCGGTCAGCCTGTAGAAGCTTCATTTCTCCATCCTTCGTCTCCACGACGTTTTCCAGCTCCCTGATACGAGTCTCCAAAGGCTCAATCTGCTGCAAAAGTTCATCAACACGCGTAGATTTCTCTGCGAGAGCAGTTTCAGCCTGCTTGACTTGGTTGCGCAGCGTAACGCTGCTCTCACGGAAAAGATTGAGTTCGTTCAATGTTTCCATGAGTTTATTATGGCTCAAAGCAGTGTGCTCACTATCCGCGGCTGCACGGCGTTGCTGCTCCAGCTTGAGACGAGCCTCATCCAGCTGAGACTGCGTGTAATCGAGCTGCTGGCGGAGACGCTTGGCCTCCTGTGTGGAGAGGTGGTATTGCACATCAACAATCTCCTTCTCCCGTCGCAAGAATTTGATGACCTCCTGAAGACCCTCCAGATTTGGTGCTGTTGTTCCTTCGTCCTGATCGCTTTCCGGAATGTTGGCGCGATCCTTCTGCAGCGCGGCGATCTGACTTGAGATACCTTCAAGCTGAGTATGCAGCAAGTTGTTTTGATGCAGAACTTCTTCACGACGTTTCTGTAATTCTGCAAGCTCACTTTCGTATCGTTCTTTGAGCTCACTCCAGCTTTCTTCTTTCTGAGCGAGGTCCTTCTTGTAGGTATCGGCCTGAGTTCGAGATTCGACCAGCTCCAGCTTCAATTGATTGGCCTCTGCACGAACGACTTGTAGGTTCTTCGCCGCCTCGGCATGCTTAAGCAATTCACTTTCGTAATTTTGCTGCGCGCGCTGGGCAATTTCTGCCTGAGCCTTGAGATCGTCCTGGTGGAACTGAGCCGCCGCAATTTGACGTTCGTTTTCTTCCTTCAGTCTTGTAATTTCGGCCTCCAAGGCAGCCTTCTGTTCCTCCAAGCGGCGTCCAGCTTCACCTTGTTCATCCCGAAGTTTAGAAAGCTCGTTGTTTGTCGTAGAAAGTTCCGATGAAATCTCCTCTATCCGTGCTTCAAGATCCTGAATCTTCTTCTCCTTCTCCTCCACAACACGTTCGGTCTCTTCCCTATATTGTTCTTGCGTCTCGGTGACTGACTGCAAGCGCTCCTCGGTCTCCTGGCTAATGGTTTTGTAAACTTCGACCTGCTCCTTAGCGTGCTCTAGTTCGCCCTTAACCAATTCTAAGTCACGCTTCAGTTCGGAAACCTGGATGCCCAATTCCTGTTCGCGGGTCAAACCAGTATCCAGAACGCCTTCTTCTGCCGCCGCAGTTGCCTCGGCCGGGGCAGTTGAGATGCTTGGCCTGGATTGTACGACTTGTAGACGTTCTTCAGCACTCCGTAGCTCAACCGTCAACTCATCCACTCTAGTCTGCAAATGATCCCGAGTCGTCTTGGTGGCAACCAATTCCTCCCGAACCGAGCTCAAACTTGCCACAAGATCATCTATCCGCTTCTGGCTCTGCTCATGCTCATATTCCCTGCGCAGAGCAGCCTTCTTTGATTCTTCAACCTCGGAATTAAGCTTACGTTTCGTAGACTGTAACTCGGACTCCAAGGATTCGACGCTGAGTTGTAAACGACGGCGATTCTCAGCATCAGCGTGCTCACGCTCGTTGAGGATGGTCTGCAGATTGGCATTGAGAGAATCGAGCCTGCTGCGTTCATTCCGTAAAACCTCGTTGTCCTCGATCAACCTCTTCTCTATACTCTTCCAAAGGTCCTTCTCGGCCTTCAGGTTTGCATTCTCACGTTGAAGGCTTTCGACGAGACCCTTCGTCTCAACCAAGTCTTCGGCAGCCTGTTGGGTTCTCAAGTCTTGTCGGTTGGCGTTCTCCAGGAGAGCAGCATAGCGTTTCTGCAGCTCTGCATTTTCATTCTTCAACATGTTGAAATTGCTCTGCAACAGCTCAGCTCGCTGAGTGGCAGCGCCAAGCTGGCTGCTTGAGCGACTGATCTCGCTCAGCAATCCACTATTTTTCCGTGATAATTCATTGACTTGCTGTTTCAAAGCGGCATGGTCGGTGGCGGACTCCTCCCGGAAGCTGTCAAAGTGGGCTTGCACCTTGCGCAATATCTCCGCATAGTCGGGTACATCCCTCCCTTGGTCGTCAACGTTCGGTGGGACCGCGCCAAGAGGAAGCGACTGGGAGAATGCAGAAGCATCCCCAACCGTTTGACGACGTCTTGTCAGCATGCTGCGGAAGGTATCCCGCTCCTTCACGTAGCTCTTGGTCTGAGCAACGAGATTAGCGATTTCATCACGGTACGTTTGCACACGAATTCTCAGCTCCTTCAGCTCCTCCTGCTCCTGTTGGCGAACTGCATCCTTCTCACGAGCTTCTGCTCCCTCCATCTTATCACCGAGCTCCCTCAGCATTCGCCGAAGTGTGACGTTCTGCTCCTGAAGCTCATGCAGATCCTTAAACGTCGTTAGATGACGGCTGATAAATCGGCCGGTTGGGTTGAGTTCCGCCGACGAGTCGTCGATTTCCTTGCGGGCGATCTTCTCGAGTTCATCCCTGTCGTATGTGGTTTCGCCTTCTTTCAAGACAGCAACTTCCATAACCAGAACCTTAATCTGAGCGCTTAAGTCACGAAGTTGTTGACGTAAAATATCCCCTTCGCGAGCCAATCCCTCCACCTGGCCCTGCCACTTCCGTGCCTCCTTGGTTGCATCGTCTCTTTCCTTTCCTGCTGTCTCGAGAATATCAGACATTTCGACAACGGCGTTTTCAAGTCGTGCGTGGTCAGCCCGCAATTCGTCAATCTCGGGTTTGCTGGCTTCGAGCTCCTGAACCATCTCATCGAGGGTCGCTTTGAGTTCCTGGCTGGTCTTTTGTTCTGCGGCAAGCATCGTTCGCATCTTATCATACTCGGTATACATTTGAGTGAGAGTAAGTCCTCCTTTGGAGCGCGAGGTCCTGGGAGAGAATGCGCCACTGGGAGTTCCAGGACGGACAGGCGTACTGGGTCCTGTACCATTCAAGCCACGAGCCGGGCTCATGGATCTTCCGGCAGTGGCACCTTCCGACTGCAATTGAGTAACAGTCAACTCTAGTTCAGCAACACGGCGTTCGGCAGCCTCCTTATCAGCGTGCTCGGTTTCGATCTCAACGCGGAGTCGAGAGATCTCTTCGGCCGCATCGTCTCTTGCTTTTTCTAGAGCGAGCTGACACTCCTGTACACGCTGCTTGGCAGTCTGCGCGGCATTGCCTTGCAATTCAGCCAGACGATTAGCGCTATCAAGTTCGATTCTGAAAGACTCAGCCGCTTGGATAACCTCCTCCTTGAGTTGCTGGATGCTCGAAAGCGACTCCTCGTATCGTTGCTGGACCTCATCCAAACGGCTCTTGAGGGCATTTTCACTGCGCCTTAGTGAGTCGATGGTCGAGTTGGCTTCCTCGTTTTCACGTTGAAGTTCGGCAATTCGGGCGGTCTTTTCCTTGCGGAATTTGAGGTACTCTGCAGACTTCGTCTTCAGCTCCGTCTCGAACCATTCGTTGTTCTTCTTCGTCAAGTCCAGCTCCTGCTGCAAGCTCTGTTCACGGAAGCGAGCGCTGGAGGATGCCGAGTTCGCGGCCTGAAGATTTTGTTCGGCAGTAGCCAGCTCGCGTCTCAATTCAATTGTTTTCTTGTGCTGGGTGGAAAGTTCTTCCGCAAGCTTGTCGTAAGCAGCACTCTTTGACTCAAGAAGTCCTAGGGTATCCCTATTCGATGCTTCGAGCGAGGAAATACGGGATTTCAGAGTGTTGACTTCGGATTCATTGGAAGTAGTCGAGGACTTCAGCGTCGCGATTTCGGATTCTAGGGCCGAACGAGCATTTTCTAGACAAATGTCAGAAGGTGTAGGTCAGAAAAGGACGCGTCAGAGCCAACCTGATTCGTGCAGTTTCTTTCTAGCCTCCTCAACTTCCGCATGGCCTTTTTCCACCGAGCTTTTCAGCACCTTGATCTTTGAGTCGCTGCTGCGAACCGCGTTCTCAAGCTCCACTTCCAAACGAAGCTTGTCGGACTTGAGCTCGTCATATTCATGAGCCTTTTTGGTAATTGCCTCCAGCAACTGGTTGACTAGCTCGACCGTGGGAGCTTGGGTAAGGGTGGTAAGTGTTGACTCCGCGATAGTGTAATGGCTCGCGAGGTAAGGCAATTCGACGGTAGCCGTAGCCATAGTGGCTAAAGAAAGGCTGTTGTATCGAGCCGCTTCCTTTTCAAAGCTGATGACTATGAAATTTGCGCAGCAATCGGTCAATCAGGAAGATGCGCAGAGGTCGCTAGCTCAATCTGATGATGTCGTTGCGCGCGTAACATGTACTACTCCAAGATAAGTGCACACAACGCTCAAATAGGTCTATTATAACATGACGGTGTAGATTCAAAAATGTGGGAAGCGACCGACAGAGGAAAAGTGAAGGTGAGTCCTCTGTCGAGTGATGAATGTCGGTCTTGAAGCACAAATGAGATGCGTTTGCGTTGCAATGCAGCTCCAAACGCGGTTAGCGCGTCTCTCCAATCACGTGATAATTTTGCCTGAGGCTTCAAAATACCAATTATGGCTTTCGAAGACTAACAGTCGCAATCACTTCTTACCCTTCCCCAACACACTGCATCTGTCCTCTGCGTCCTTACCGGGTGACGACTTTTAGATCCAATCAGGGAAGGTACTGATCTAATTATATGCTCGGGAACAGATTAAAATAAGCTCTTTCTGGCTCTTGGAGCCGGACGTCGCCTCATTCTATCAAACTCGAGCATCTCTCACGTCATTACCAGCTATCGCAGCCATGTCGCTCCAGCAGCAGCTCAAGAGTTTCAACGCCAGCGTTACCGACTATGCGAACCGTATGCCCCAACAGAGACGGTTTGTCCACAACGGCTCGACAAGCACTTCTCAGGTACCATCCTCCACCTCAACACCAACACCAGGTAGCGACGCACAGCGGAAGAGGCAGAATGCAGATATCGTGTACTCGCAGCCTGCCAATACCGGCACGGGCAAGGACATCATGACACAGGTGCTCTTTGCAGTTGAGCACTTGAAATCTAAGGGCGTCCCGCTCAGGTATTCCGATATAGTCTCATACCTCTCTCTCCAGCACCGCTCAAGCGACGAAGGCTACCTTCAGGCACTACGGAGAATTCTCACGCAGCACGAAAAAGTCTTGTATGATCCTAGTGGCGCGAACGGGGAGGGTACATTCGCTTTTCGGCCTCCTCACAACATCCGCACCGCGGAGCAACTCCTGCAGAAGCTACAGTCTCGGACTACCGCTGCCGGCATGAGCGTCCGTGAGCTCCGGGAAGGCTGGCCCAACGTTGAAGAAACAATCAACAGGCTGGAGAAAGAAGGAAAATTGTTGGTCACTAGAAACAAGAAGGACGATCATGCGAAGATGGTCTGGGCCAACGATCCCTCGCTGGTGCAGCACTTTGATGATGAATTCCGCCAGATTTGGGCGAAGATCAAAATTCCAGACCAGCAGGCCGTCAAGGAAGAGCTGGAGAAAGCCGGTATCACTCCAACAAACAAGAACAAGGTTGTCAAGGTACGCCCAAAGGTGGAGCAGAAAAAGGTCAAGAAACCTCGTCGCAGTGGAAAGACGACCAACACCCATATGATGGGCGTTCTGAGAGATTATTCCCACCTCAAACGGTAAACATGGCTTCCCACTGAGCATCTTGTCTCTGGCTTCTCTATTGAGCCGACCATTCTTGACCATATTCTTTCCGCTCTCTATTTCCGTTCATGTCTCACGAATGACAGTCCACCTGCATCCATCGGCGTTGTGCGGGGCTTTCCTCAAAATCATTTCATGCTATACATTGCGGACGATCTCAGTTGTGTTATGCTTTGGACTGGCGTTTTACTAGTAAAAGATATCAAGATAGATACCCATACCAATCAAATTTGCTTCTTGTCATATTTCAACTTTTACTGTTTTTGTTTGATCCCATGGGAACCTGCCACGAGTAGTTGCCGACTATACGGAGTTACTTACCACTGATCTGTCGTCATCAAATATACACAGCAGTTTCATGATACTTTGCCTTGTTCTACATGGACTTCATGAGCAAGAATATGTCCAAGTGGTCTAGTATTTATTGGTACACCTTTTCTTTCCTGGCCAAACAGTGCGCAAGACAAGAGCCGTTCACATGTACATGGGAGTGGAAAGAATTCCCAAAACAGAAAAGAATGCAACCAGATAGTAAAACACGCAATCCAATCAAGCGATCAATGCTTCCCATTCGGAACAGGCCCCTCCGTCCTCTCAAGGTACTCCACCAAATCCTCAATCGTGCACACCTTAATACCCCATTTCTTGCCGAACTTCAAGCACCCATCGCGTCTCATCATACCATTATTACCCCGGATCTCCGGGACCCCCTCAACGAGCTCACCATCCTCCACCAACTCAGCAATCACACCGACAGGCGACTTACCCGCTAGACGGCAAAATTCGACCGCCGCCTCAGTGTGTCCCTTTCTCTCGCGCACGCCGCCGCTCTTCGCCTCAAGCGGGATAATGTGGCCCGGCCGTCGGAAGTCCTCGAATTTGGCAGTTGGGGAGGCAAGGGCGCGGCATGTCAGGGCGCGGTCTTGCGCGGAGATCCCCGTCGTGACGGAGGGGTCGCTGGAATCGATGGAGATGGTGTATGCGGTTCCCTTGGGGTCGGCGTTCTCGACGACCATCTGGGGTAGGGAAAGGCGGCGGGCGATTTCAGGGGTAATAGGTGCGCAGATAAGACCACTGTAGTTCCAGAAGCCGAAAAAGTTAGCTGGTATTCAAGAAGCGCTCTGAGCGTTCAGGGTTGAGTGCAGGCGAGGGTGTACCAACCTCGTAAAGCGGACTAGGAACGCCATCTGTGCATCTGTGACTGACTCCGCGGCAATGATAAGGTCACCTTCATTCTCACGATCTTGCGAGTCAAGGACTATTATGAATTCTCCGTTTTCTGTGTTGAGCATTTATCATTAGCATGTTCGGTCCTAATCCTCGGAGCTCGCGCAGGTGGCGCAACAACCTGAGAGGCTGACTCACTAAAAGCCTTGATCGAGTCTTCGATAGAATCGAAATGCTGGCTGGGCTCTGAAGGCGAAGGCATTATGGAGTTATGCAACTGAAGATCGAGGGCGATGATAGGGAAAAAATGTATGAATAATTGTTGCCCCTCGGCAAGTTCACGCGGGGCAACTTTGATGAGATCGAATCTCCGAATCGGCCGTAGAAGGGCTCGGGCTTCAAAAGACAACCGTCTGGGAAGCACCAGGTGATCCTTCAAGTATCGCTTCACTCCGGTGATTTATCGAACGAGCTACCTGCTCAATTGACCTTCAGTTGAGAAACCAGCGTGGTTGTATCAGTGACTCAAATATCGGCACGCGGGGAAGTTCGGAGGCGGCGTGGACGGCTTAATGATGATACATGCAGATGAACACTGTAGACGACTATCAAAGCCTCAAGGATATCCTCAATTGATCCCGGAGTGTAACGACCGGAGTTGAAGAATGAAAATGTAAGGGGAGGTTATACGAGCAAGTCAGCAAAATTGCACATGATAGAAGCGTCAAGGTCTCCCCGTCAAATCATCAGCAATCACTAATGTTTTGTCAGAAAGTCTAATGAATACCTCATCCTCCACTTTCTTTCCAGGCCCACTGGCCACCGCGGCAGATGAATTCACCGGCCGAGGCTGCCGACAGCGGCCGACACACATGAGCACGGCCCGAATGGATGATTTGTCAGCGTCTATAGACCCATGAAGTGATCAAGTGCTTTAAAAAGACATGATGCCTCTCGTAGGACGCGAATAGGCTTGCTCTCCATTGCTGGGGGACCGTAGGTAGCATTGTGATGTGCCTCCGTCGTTCCTTGGACGACATTTTGGAAGATTCAACACGACTGCTTTTTAAGGCTCCGCTTGATGGTAATATGCCATCTACACGGGGCCCCATAGTGGATAGCAAGGAATGTTATTCTGGTCATGATGATGTTGATGCGAACGTAAATATCCTATCCAAAACTCTGATAGAGCGACAAACATCTGTCCTGGTCTATGAAAGAGAGCGCTGTCTAGATGCTAAAGAAATCAAAATATCAATGCAACTATTTCCTATCACAGTCCGAATCCTCCCATACGCCGGACTTCGTCCGCCTGCCTTTCCAGCGCTCTGCGCATCCTTCGGGCGTACTCACGTTCCTGTCGTTTATGTTCTCGTCTTCTATTTCGCAGTTCTTCACGAGCAGAGTCGTCGAGGTCCCCGTCAATAGACATCTCTTCATCGTCATCTTCTTCACCCTGATTGTCACCGGTAGAGGTGGAGAGCACAACACGGCCAACTCGCTCTCCTGTCCAGACGAGGAGCTCATCCCCCGTCAAGTTCCCACCAGTAGGCAAGATCTTGCGAGCAACTTCACCGTCAGTCTGAGAGCGGAAAACGCTTCGCCAGAGCCCGGAGGCGGCCTCTTCCTCTTCTTCTTCTTCTTCTTCGTCGTCCTCCTCGGCGACCGCGTCTGAAGCTTCGAGGCTCGATTTTCGGTTGTTTCGGCTTCGGGCCTGCTGTAGATAGGAGTTGAGATTGAAGCGGCGAACATCGACACGGCCGTCTCGTTCGACCCATTTGATATTGCCCTCAGCGTCCGAGTAGACGATGCGAGTCCCGTGCGACTCTACAGAGAGGACCTTCGATCTCGCGGCACTTTGACGGTTTTGATATACAACATTCATACTGGAAGATACTTCCGACGGACTGTCTTCGCTGTTCAGGGACGAGGGTGTTAGATCATAAAGCTCGAGTGAGCCTCTTCCCTTGTATTCGCCACAGGCTACCACTTTATGTGACTGTGGATACGTCGAGCCTGATGATACAGGAAAATGGGGAGCAGGCATGGAAGTAAGGCCGCAGAGACGGCCGCCTGAATGTACCGTGTTCTGTAGCCGAGGGAAGAACCGCCTGTCGTATTGCAGTATGCTCGGAAAGCGGCCTGCAAGAAGAATCGTGTTCACATGCGGTGCGGGAGGGTGTAGAAGCGATAAAGGGCCAGGCTGGAAGAGAGGCGCGTAGTCCGCGCCCTTTTGCGACGGATCAGGACTACGTATACGGTAGGGAGGCCGACCATCAGGTTGAAGTTGTAGAAGCGGGGAATCCGGACGTGCATAGACTTGGGAATCCGGTACTATAGCAGTGACTGGCTCCTCACAACGTAGATTGATGGCAGCCTCTTCCTCAGACGCTGACAATCGAGAATCGTGTATGTGAATACTCAAGGTGGTGGCCACCGTAAGTGGAACTGAGTAATCAGTTTCCTGAGACAAGGCGAAGATAGACCAAGGATAACGCTGCTGTGAAATCACCTGAAGCGTTTCAAGGTCGACTTCATTCAACGCATTTCCGACGGCCATGTAAGCCCTCCGGCGTATCGAGTCAACGCTAACACTCTGGCCCAGGTTTATAAACTCTAACGCCGACCGTGAGGCAGGATCCCGTCTTCTAGACAGGTCTGCCATCAAGATCCCCGGAGCACTGACTCCAAGGACGCTTCCTTTTGTAGCCTGTGAATCGATGGAATGGGAATGATTCAGGTCCCAGATGCAGACGCTCCCGTCGTCAAGCGGAGCTACCACCTTGTTCTGTCTCGCCGAGCTCCAATCCCGGAGCAGCCCCATGCCCTTGACCTCACGGTAAATCTTCCTCCCTCCCGGAATTTTCTTCGTGAATGGTTGCTGCAACCAACTGAACGACATGGGTGCATGTCGTGCGATATATTCAGAGTACCAGTCGACATCCTCTCCCTCATACGAGGGGTCCCACGCCGTCGCTGCTCTCGCTCGCTCAGCGAATGACGGAGTCTGCGCTTCGTTCTGGCCAGTCTGATTCGATGAACCCCCATGCCAAAGGCTATGCTGTGGTTGAATCAAGGAGAGCAGCGACGCCTGGCCCAGTGAGCCCAAGGGCGCTGTGGACCTCGCATTCAAGCTTTCGGAAGTACTCCGGTTCTGGCGGGCAGCTTCTGAAGCAGCCCATGATTCCTCGTAACAGTGAAGTCTCCATCGCGTGTTATCACGCGCGAGAGCAAAGAACCGCTTCGAGACAGATTGAAGTTGGACCTGCTCGACCGGGGTAAGATCTAGTCCATAATAGGCGGAAACGCGTTAGTTATAGATTGTCACAGGTCATGCGGGGTAAGATCTTCGCAGCTAAGGCGTAGACATCGACTACTCACAATCGATAATCTTGGAAAGAATCTCTACGGGGAGGTTTTCCATGGGTAGGATCTGGAAAGGCACAGCATGGAGGGCAGATAGAAGATCAAACCCGCTCACGATGTAAGACAGCCCAAACTGTTCCCCTCCTGATGGGGTTCCAGATCCGTTAATTTCCCCGCGATCAACAAGCCTAGACTTACGTCACGTGTTGACAAGGTCTAAAGGCCAAGCTTCAACATCACGAAGCTCTCATCTAGAAGAGGTAGCGTTCAGCTGAGGACCAGGTCGAATGAGTGATGATTTCTATTGGTCTAGTATGCTGAATACCAAAAGACCGCCTGTGTTCCTTCCAATATCCCAAAGCCAAACCATCGTAACTCGCGTCAATCGTACATTAAGAATAGAAACATAGTAGACAGGAAAGAAGTGAGCGAGGGAAAGAGAGAATCGAAAGGATATAGCATCGGGTTGGCAACCCCGGAAGTCGTGTTACTTCAAAGCCAGCTCAGCTATCGGGTATGTAGACGGCATCCTTACAAAGGACAGCGACCTTCTTGAAAAATCGTCGCCATTCTAGAGGGTCACCCTTCACTTTCATAAACTCAATCTCAAAGAGCCCCTCTGAAACGCACTCGATGACCACTTTTCCCTGCAATGTGCACATTCGGCCGTCTCTGGTGATTATTCGGATCATTGCAGATGTGTCTCCTGGAGAAACCGCGGGCACACTGGGAACAGGGACCCCCAGGCGGTGGAGAGCTTCGCACACAAGAGGAACGAGAATCTTGAGTTCCCACGTGGAGAAAAAGCGAGTCATAGGGCGCGCAGGTACAATGTCGCGGAAATGCTGAGCCTTTTGCGTTCTACTGAGCGGCACGGAAGGATGAGGCGAAAATTGCGACATGGAGGGCTCGTCCTCTAGATAGCCCGCCATTAACATGTCATCGCTGGAGGAAGGCCTTCCCGTAGGTTGAGTGGACGAAAATACATCCCCCATGTGAGGTGTATCCCAGTCTACCAACATATCTCCCCTCGGCATTTCTGGCTGAGTGGAGGAAATTCTCGGTTCCGTATCCAAGTCTCCGTCGTCCAACCTCATCCGCTCCGGGTCAAAGCTGCCAGTCCTGTGCGGTTGAGAGAGCGGATCCTGGCTGAAATCGATGTGCAGTGATTCGAACATGGTCGTCGCTAGCTTGATAGGGTCTCTGAGCTTGCCATCTAGGGCAAGGTACCGATTCTGTCGGGTAAACCAAGGATGCCGCCGCACATCCTCAAGAGAGAATCTGTTACTGGGGTCGACGTTCAGCATGCCGCGTAGCAAGGAAAGAGTTGCTGTAGGCAGCTTCTGCCAGAGTTCATCACTCGTTCGTGCGTTCGTCGCAACATATTCATGAAACTCGTAGCTGCTCTCTGTCGGACTGTCCCACGGCGTGTTGCCCGCCAGTAAAACGAAGAGTACAATCCCGCACGACCAGATATCCACCAGATCTGGGCGATAACCCGCGCCCTTGACCTGACCACGGTTGCTACACGATATGACCTCTGGAGCAATGTACGGAGGACTGCCGCAGAAAGTTGTCGAGAGCTTGGTGACACCTTTGTACTCGAACAACGTCGCTAACCCAAAATCGGCGATCTTGAGATTTCCGTCGGCAGTTAAAAGCATGTTTTCGGGCTTGATGTCCCGGTGACTGACTCCTTTTGAATGCATGTATCCCACAGCACTGATAAGCTGCGAGAAGTACACATGAGCGATATCCTCGCCCACACCCTCATCAGCCTCGATCTTGTCGAAAAGGTCTCCGCCCTCGGCCAGTTCCATTGCGATCCATCGCCATACGTTATCCTCGCCGGTCTGAAAGAACGAGATTATATTGTTATGATCGCCGATGTGTTTATGTACCGTCGC